TAGATGTAGAAACAGCATTTGACAAAATTCAACATCTGTTCATGATAAAAACTCAACAAAGTGGGTTTAGAGGGAACATTCTGCAACATAACAAAGGCCATATATGACAAACTCATAGCTAACATCATACTCAGTGGTAAAAATCTGAGAGATTTTCCTCTAAAATTAGGAAAAAGACAAGGATATCCATTCTTACCACTTTTATTCAACCTAGTACTGGAAGTCATAGTCAACACCAAAAAAAAAAAAAAAAAGTAATCTAACTTAAAAATGGGCAGAGGACCAAACATATTTTCTCCAAAGAAGATATCCAGATGGCCAAGAGACACATGAAAAAATGCTCAACATCACTAATCATAAGGGAAATACAAATCAAACCTGCAATTATGTTTCATCTATGCCAGTCAGAATTGCTAAAATCAAAAAGACAAGAAATAACAAATGTTGGCAAAGAAGTGAAGAAAAAGGAACATACTGTTGGTGGGAATGTAAATTGATGCAGCCACTGTGGAAAACAGTATGGAGGCTTCTCAAAAAATTAAAATTAGAAATACCAAATGATCCAGTAATTTCACTACTGGGTATTTACCAATGAAATTACTAATTCAAAAAAGATATATGAACCCTTATGCTTACTGCAGTATTATTTACAATAGTCAAAATATGGAAGCAACCTAAATGTCCACTGAAAGATGAATGGATAAAGAAGATGTGGTATATATAAACAATGAAATATTATTTGGCCATAAAAAAGAATGAAATATTACCATGTGGGACAACATAGATTGACCTAGAGGGTATTATGCTAAAAGAAAGAAATTAGACAGAGAAAGACAAATACCATATAATTTCACTTAAGTGTAGAATCTAAACAACAAAACAAACAAAAGGCAGAAACTCACTCATAAATACAGAAAACTGATGGTCGACAGAGGGGAGGGCATGGGGGATGGGAAAAATAGATGAAGGGGAGGGGGGTGTATTGGCTTCCAGTTACGGAATGAGTAAGTGATAGGAATGAAAGGTACAGTATGGAGAATGTAGTCAATGGTATTGTAATAGTGTGTATGGTGACAGACGGTAGCTATACTTGTGGTGAGCACAGCATAATGTATAGAGTTGTCAAATTGCTGGTGAGCACCTGAAACTAATATATCATTGTATGTCAACTATACTTCAATTAAAAAAATTAACTAATTAAAAAAAATAGACCTGAATTCCTACTCTGTCACATCAGTCTACATGTCACATGGAGGGGTTCTTATAGTCTTTCACCCTCAATTTTCTCATTACAATGGGAATAAATATTATCTAATATTTTAAAAATCTACCTAAAATACAACACTGAACAAGATGAAAAGAAAGTTTATAGCTATAGTAATATCAGAGGGAAAACACTAAAGCAAAAATATCATTAAGAATAATTTTTGTTTTTTTAACCAGTGAATTTTGTTAAATTTACTGTTACTAGATATACCTGGATTAATATTTCTCTTTGACTTTTACACTATTTACCCTTTTTTTATATGCTTCTTTTCTCCTTTCCTGACTTTATTTTTTAAATTTAAAAAACCTATTCCCCTTTTCCCATTTTCATGCATTCTAGAATGCATTAGAAGATATGCATTCTACTTCTACTATTTCAGTGGTTTCTCTTAAATATTTTTAACACGTGAATTTACCTTAATGAAGTAAATTTACCTAAAGTAAATTATGGCCCATACTTTCTTCCTCATAATCACTACAATTTAAAACACTTAAATTCTGATTACTCTCTCTTCAATCTTAGAATATTAGTATTAGCTGGTGTTTTTATTCCACTTTGTTTAAAAATTTTTTTTTTCTTTTTAATGTTTATTTATTTTTGAGATACAAACAGGGGAGGGGCAAAGAGAGAGGGAGACACAGAATCTGAAGCAGGCTCCAGGCTCTGAGCTGTCAGCACAGAGCCCGACACGGGGCTCAAACCCACCAACCTTGAGATCATGACCTGAGCCAAAGTCAGATGCTCAACCCACTGAGCCACCCAGGCACCCCTGGAAGTTCTTTTGTGAAGGGTCTATTGTAGGCAAACTCCATCTTTGTCTTCAAGTGTCTTTACTTAATTTTCATCTTTGAGTTGTAATTTATTGTATGTGGTGTCTGAGTGAGATTGTTAAGTATTTTCTGCTGACTTGTGCTTTCTGTGGTTGTTAAGTAGCATTCTTTTCAGGTAATCTGTCTCTGGTTGAATTTAAGATTGTCCTTAGCTTTTGGCCTTTTGCAATTTTACTACAATACCATAGTATTTTTTGGTTTTCCTGTTTGAAATTTCTTTTGCTTCTTCTTCTTCTTCTTCTTTTTTTTTTTTTTACATTTTTTTGTTTTAAAGAGAGAGAGGGTGTACACAAGTGCAGAAGGGCAGCTCTAGAGAGAGGGAAAGAGACTCTTTTTTTTTCTTTTTTTTTTTTTTACAAATAGTTTATTGTCAAATTAGTTTCTACATAACACTCAGTGCTCATCCCCAAAGTGCCCTCCTCCATGCCCATCCCCCCCTTCCCCCCACATCCATCAGTCCTCAGTTTTTGTCAGCATTCAAGAGTCTCTCATGGTTTGCCTCTCTCCCTTTCCCCCACCATTTCCGTCCTTCTTCTCCCCCTTGTTCCTCCGTCAAGTTCCTCCTAATCCTCCTATACGTGCAAACATATGATATTTGTCCTTCTCTGCCTGACTTATTTCGCTCAGCATAACACCCTCAAGGTCCATCCATGTCGCTACACATGGCCAGATTTCATTGTTTCTCATTGCCATGTAGTATTCCATGGTATAGATAAACCACATCTTCTTGATCCATTCATCTGTTGATGGACACTTAGGCTCTTTCCATGTTTTAGCTATTGTGGAAAGTGCTGCTATGAACATTGGGGTACATGTGCTCCTATGCCTCAGCATTTCTGTATAGAGGGAAAGAGACTCTTAAACAGGTTCCATGCTGCGGGTGGAACCTGACTCAAAGCTCACACTTGATCTCACAACCCTGAGATCACAACCTGAGCTGAAAAAGTCAGATGCTTAACCAACTGACCCACCCAGGTAACCCAAGATTTCTTTTGTTTCTTCAATATGAGAATTGTTGCTTCTCATTAGTTCTAGAGCATTTTTATCTGTTGTATTTTTAAAATTTGGTTGTATTCCATTCTCTCTGTTCTTTCCTTCTAGAAATTCTATGAAGATATATAGTGTTGGACCTTTTTGTATATGTAATGTTTCTTAGTTCCCTTTACATTTTTCTTCTATCTTTCTACGCCTTGTCCTCTATAATGTTTTCTGACACATATTCCAGTTTGCTAATTCTCTTATCAGCTGGGTTTCATCTGCCATTGAGTTTTTAATTTCAACCATTATATTTTTAATTACCATGAATTTTATTTGGATCTTTAAAAATCTGCCCAGGCCTTTTTTTTGACAACAGCTTTTCTCAGGAATTTATTTTTCTTTCTAACTCTTCATCATTTAACTGTTTTCATAATCACTATCTGACAATTTGATTAATAAAGCTGTTGCTTTTGTTTGACTCTTGGATCTTTTTTTCCCTCATATGTTTTGTAATTTTTATTGAAAGGTCATTTTGGGGTGGGGGACTAATCTGTAGGAATCCCGTAAGGCATGGTTTGAAGATGTGTCTCTTTGGAGAAATGATATTTATTTCTTCCAAATGTCCCAGAGTTACCACCAAGCGGGAGGCTCTTTGCATGTGAATGTATCAAATCCAATCACAAAAGTAATAAACTTAAATTGGACCCCACAAATAATAAAATTCTAACCCATCTGATATCCAGTTATAAATTGGTTATAAATTCTTTGGAAATCTTCCTCACCAAATAGGTAGTTGTTGTTGTTTAATTCTGTCAGTTTAATAATGCTAGATTTCTCTCTCTCTTTTTCCTCTTTTCTGACTCCTTTTGTTTCTCTTAATCTCTCTGATCAGTTAGGACTCCCAGCTCTGTACAAGCCTGGTAACTTTTTCTGTCCCTGCATGACCAATAAAGTCTAAATCTATTTAATATGCAAAACATCAACGATCCCCAGTGTTCCCTTATCTAGAGCAACTATACATGAACATCTTATTATGAGTCTGGGTTTACAAAGACTGTGGGCCTGGATATTTTCCTTACTGTCTTAAAAACTTAGGTATGTTTTTAAAGAATGTTTGTTTTAAAGAGTAGGAAAATGGTTGCCAGAGGATATAACTTTCAGCTATAAGATGTATAACCTCTGAGGATCTGATGTAAAACATAGTGGTTTTAATTGCTAACATTATGTTGTTTAGTTGAAATTTGCTAAGAGAGTAAAACTTAAATGTTCTCACCAACAAGAAAAAAGATAAATATGTAAGGTGATGGATGTGTTAGTTAACTGGATGGGAGAAGTCCTTTCACTATGTATATGTACATCAAATCACCACAATGTATACTTTAAATATCTTGAATTTTATATGCCAATTATAGCTCAATGAAGCTGACATTTAAAAAAATATTAAAAAATATTTTTGAAAAGGTTTGTTTTAGCATTTACTTATATTTTGTATCGAGTAGTTGCAGATTTCCTAGTCTACCATTTCTCCAGAAATAGAAGCCAAAAAGAGTTTATTGATTTTTCCTAGGAATTCTTTAAAAAGAATCCAGTTGACAGCAAGCAATCATTGAATGTCTTCTATGTACCAGCTATTATTTAGAAAAATCACTCATTTTCTTGCAGAAAGCCACTTTCAATCAGAAAATAAATCTGCCTATCTTCTTCCCTATCCTTCTGTGACTATTATAAAGATTACATTATATCAAAGGCATCATCAGATAAGTTCTAGTACTTTAGATAAAATTCTTATCTTCAGATAAAACCTCTGCCACTACAATATGGATTATATTATCATTGTTTAACAACAGCAACGGAAGGTAAATGGACAAGTTATACCCAAATTCACATAGTTTTCAAAATTGTGTATTTCTCTTCTTTGTGTTTAGATTTTCTTCTACCTCAGTTTAAAAGATAAAATAATATGTAGTCAAGTTTGTCACTCCTGGATGTTGATGACACAAGCAGGCTCGTTGTGGAATGCTGTAAGTAGACACTACCTGAGACTGCCTTTATTCTAATTCTTAAAGGAGAACCGATTGCCACAAAGCCAACTGTACTAGGGGCTACTTTTTCCCCTGCTCCCCCCACAGGGCTAAAAACAGTAGGTGCATTTATTTATCTTCTGTCCAGGCACAAGCCCAAAGGAAAAGACAGAAAGATAATAATGCTATTTTAAGAAATTATCAGTATTTTCTAATTTGAATGGTAGAAATAAATCAAATATAATTTTTAGATTGAAATCAATCTCCATTAGATCTGAGTTAGACTTAACATTGCCTCACTCAGGATGCTGCAGAGATAAATTGAGGAAATGCATGTAAAGTGCTTATTATAAAGCCTGGGATGTAGGCAGCACTCAATAAATGTCAGCCCCCGTTATTGGTTCAAAAAACATGACAAAATAGCACAAAATATGGAGTAAAGGAAAAAAAGACTGAGCATGGAATAGGGCTAAAATATACAACATGTAAACAAAACTTGTTTGATATTCTTAGTGTTTTTGCATGCCCACAGACACACATACACTCAGGCATTTTCTAATAAAGATTTCTAGGCAGGAACCTCTATACTATTCTTATCATTGTACTATTTTTATACTATTCTTGTATCCTAGAATATGTTTGTGTTTCTCATTCTAGTGAGACATTGGGGAGTGGTCTCAGTCAATAATAAAAAATAAGCATAAATTGTCCCTGATGACTTCTCCTTTCTTTTTCCTGGATGATACTTTAATCTCTGTAATCACTTATTCCATTGACCAGTGTTACGGTGGCAACATCTTCCCTGTTACCTAATGTCCAGTCAGTAGACTTTACCACCCCTCCTTAATTGCTAATGATCAAAGGGCATATTATAGCATCATGTGCTCAGACCAACCTATGAATAGGTGGCTGGAACCATTCCACCTAAATTCTCAACCTTAAATGAAGAAACTAAGAGGAGCTGACAAGGTGCCACTCTTAAATCAAGTCAACCTCTTGACATTCCATTCTTGGCTTCACTTGGCTTCCGCTCTCACCTTGTGCCACAGTGGCAAGAAGAAAACATGCTTCTGTCTCAACTAACCCATCTTAGCTACCAAATTTAACAGTCTTTTCTTAAGTTTATTTTTAGCTTAAGGCAGTGATACTCAATCTTCAGACTGCATCAGAATTATCTGAAGGGACTGTTAGAACAGACTCTGGTTGCCAGCCCAGGGTCTCTGACTCAGTAGGTCTGGGGTGGGGCTTGAGAATTTGAATTTCTGACAAGTTCCTGGGTGATGCTAATGCTGTTGGTCCCAGGACCATACTTTGAGAATCACTGGTTTAAAGTAATAAATCTCCTTCTTATGTGATTGGGGATGTTACTTTTTTCTTTGGAAAGCCTGTAAAGAATAAAAAAAAGAAAAGAATCCAAATGGTCAGAAAAAGAATATGTATGATCTTAAGATCAGGACAAATCCTGCAGAAGCCTGGCAGGAAAAGCTAGCCCTTCTGCTCAGAATCCTCAACGGGTGAAGTTGGAGAAAATCTGAGCATATGTCAGCGAAGAACAAAGCCCGGGTAGGAAGTCAAGTTGTTTTTTTGTTTTTTGTTTTTTTTCTGTTCAACACATTTCTCTTTCCACAATTCTGTGTTCGCCTTCATCTCCTGTTAGTTTTGCCTTCATTTGTGAGTGCTCAAATGTGGCACAGCTAAAATAAACATTTTAGCACAAAGAATAACTTTGTTCAGAAGGCAGTGAGAAATTGGAAGTTCATAAACTAGCCTCGTAGCTGAAAGACATTATTAATACTATGGTATCAGTGTTATTATCAACTGCCCCTCGCACTCAGTGCTCACATAAACCTCTGTGCTTTTTTTTTTTTTTTTTCACCTCTGTGCTCTTCAATTTTACATGCAATCAGCCAGGTACACTCTTTCCTTCTCTCCAGACCTCCCTCCTCTAAATGATGAGTATGAAAAAGCCACTATAAATCTCTCACTCTGAATTGTCTTTCCCATAGTCAAGAACTGAACATATAGTCTGTGCTCATGAATAAGGAAGCAGGCACACATTAATAATGAACCCAGGAGGAGTTCATTGACACTGAAGTGGGGAGCAGCCTTGGGGCTCGCCTGGGGTGATGGGGGGCTACCAGGCCACTCTATGACAATCAACTCTGTTGCAGGGTAGATGTGGGACTCTTGTCCTCCCAGCTGTCTACCTGGACTGAACATTTGGAATCTGTTTGTACTTAAACCTGGGAATGACCATGAAGAAAAAATGTGTTTGTAATTAAACTCCAGAATGACCATGAAAACAAATAAATGAAAAAAATGTTTCTTGATGCTTTAAAAATGTTATAAATTTCTACATGCAAAAGATCTTTCTCACTTCTTAATGCCTTTTGTTTATCCTTTTTAGATTGATTTTTCCACAGTAAAAAATATCATCACAGATAAATATATAGTGACTACTTTGCAAAGATGGCGTCTAAATGTGCTGCGCTTGAATTTTCATGGCTGTATTCTCCGCTTGAAAACCTTGAGATCTGTCAGTGAGTATGTTCAGTACAACTCTTTGCCTTGCTTTTCTGTTTTTTGATTAAACAAATATAAAGAAAAATATAAAATAAAGTAGAAACTGTAGTTATGGTCTTAGGCCATAAGAATGTCAATTAAAAACATTGAAAATGCTTATAGTATAGTCAGCTCTTACTGGATTGTATGAGGAGTTGGTGCTTTGTCCATTCTTATTTTTTTAAAGTGTATTTATTTATTTTGAGAGAGACAGAGACCATATGAGCAGGGTAGGAGCAGAGAGAGGGAGAAAGAGAACCTCAAACAGGCTCTGCACTGCCAGCACAAGAGCCCAATGTAGGGCTCGAACTCACGAAACCATGAAATCGTGACCTGAACTGAAACCAAGTCAGGCACTTAACTCACTGAGCCACCCAGGCCCTCCAGTACTTTATCCATTCTTATTGGTCACTTTTATTTTTGGTCTAGCATTTGTCTATCTATGTATTTTCAATTTACCTACTAAAAAATACAATATAAGAATATATTATCAATTTTAAAATTCTACAATAGACAGTAAAAGAAAAAAACCTCCCTATATCTCCCTCAAATCCATTAACTTATTCAAAGGTATTCAATGGTATTAGTTTTATGGTTAAAAAAAATTTTTTTTAAATGTCTTTATTTTTGAGAGACAAAGCACAAGGAGGGGAGGGGCAGAGATATAGGAGGACATAGACTCCCAACCAGGCTCCAGGCTCTGAGCTGTCAGCACAGAGCCTGACATGAGGCTTGAACCCACAAACTGCGAGATAGTGACCTGAGCTGAAGTCAGATGCTTAACCGACTGAGTCACCCAGGCGCACCTAGTTTTCTGTTTTTCTAAAATACATTTACATATGTGTGATTAAAAATACACAATTAAGGGGCGCCTGGGTGGCTTAGTCGGTTAAGCGTCCGACTTTCGCTTGGGTCATGATCTCGCGGTTCGTGGGTTCGGCCCCGCATCGGGCTCTGTGCTGACTGCCAGCTCAGAGCCTGGAGCCTGTTTCGGAGTCTGTGACTCCCTCTCTCTCTGACCCTCCCCTGCTCACGCTGTCTCTCTCTCTCTCTCTCCTAGAAATAAATAAAACATTAAAAAAAAATAATAAAGTATGTGAACCTCTTTTTAAAAAATAAATAAATAAATAAATAAAATACACAATTAAAAATTTTAATATGAAAAGGATCATATTGTTTTATATTTTCTTTTATATCCTGGAAATCTTTCCATGTCAGTCCATGTAGAACTACTAAATTATTTTTAAATCATTAAGATCATTTTGCATACTATGGATGTAGCATAATTTATTTAACTTTCTTCCTCTTGATGGACATCGAGGTTATTTCCAATGCTTTCCCAGCTGCTTTGTACTTTCACTGTGACATGTACTTTCACATGTGACATATGACAGTTTGAACTGCCATAATAATGTCTCATAGACTGGGTACAGAAACTTATTTCTCACAGTTCTGGAAGCTGGATATCCAAGATCAGAATGCCAGCCTGGTTCTAGACGGGGCTCTCTTCTAGGTCGTAGACTATTGTCATCTTTTTGGGTCCTCACATGGCAGAGAGAAGGAGAGAGAGATCTTTGGGGTCCCTTGTATAAAGGCATTAATCCTAGTCATGAAAGCTCTACCCTAATTACCTCCTGAAGGCCCTACGTGCTAATACCATCACATAGGAGGCTAGGATTTCAACATATGAATTTGGCCAAGGGCACATTCAGTCCATTGGATTAACCGATATATATATATGTTTTTAAGTCTCTTTATTTTGAAAGAAAGAGAGTGTGTGAGTAGGGGAGGACAGAGAGAAAGAGAGAGAGAGAGAGAGAGAGAGAATACCAAGCAGACCTGTGCTAACGGCGTGAACCCACAAACCATGAGGTTATGACCTGAAACAAAAACAAGAGTCAGACACTCAATGACTAAACCACTCAGGTGCACCAACCCATAAGTATTTTAAGGTTCATTTTTCAGCCTCCATGTATCTTTCTGGAAATGAGAGGAAAAAAGTATATTTAGAAAAGTGTACATCCATACTGATTTCAGATAATGAGAAAGAAAGCCATAAACATGTAAATACCAACATGGATGAGTCTAGAGATATAAGAGTGAAAGTAAGTTGCAGAATGACATATATAATCTAATACCATTTGCATACAAGCTTTCAATGTGCAAAATAATATATACTTTACATTTTGAAAAAATTTAAATAATAATACTTAAGAACACTCGCACATATATAGGAAAATATAAAAAGCATGCATGGGAATGAAAACTCCAAATGCAAGTTAGTGGTTACCTCTTGAGGTGGACAGAGTTGAATGAAATGGGGAAGAGGTTTACAAGGTGTTTCAATTGTATCTGTAATTTTGTAAAGAGAAAAATAAAGAAAAGATACCAAGTGGGATAATTCTGACTGGTTGCTGATACTGAAAAAAAACTATAGTTTTATGTCATTGTATTTGATTACATATTAAAGTGTCTTCTTGGTTTTAATAGTTTGTCAGTTGATTCTTTTGGGTTTTACAGGCAGATCATTTACTTCCATTCATTCCTAGTCTTATATCTTTTATTTCTTCTTCTCCTTCTTTTTTCCAGTAGCAGGGATATGGACCCATCTTATCTTGTTCTTGTCTTGTTCTTTACTCCCTTTTTTTCATATTTTTAATGAGAATAGTGTTATTATTATCTCATCTTTTATTTTTGGGATATACTCTTCATAGAGATATAATTCCATTCCTTTTTTTTCTTTTTCTTTTACAGCAGCCATGTCCTGCTTATTCCTCATTCAATCTGGTCATGTCTGCCTTTGGATTTTTAGGAACTATTAATTTCTGATCCACCAATACCATTCCTGTTTTGTTTTCCAGAGATATTATAAATTTAAAAAAACCTCATTTCTCGGAATTTAGGTAGGAGATGAAAGGTGAAATATATGCTAAGTTTGCTGTCTTGAATGAATTTATTAGTTTATTAGTAATAAAGAGTTAACAAAATAATTGTAAGCCTGAGTGTGCTAGCCACCCAGTTTATAGCAGCATTATCTGCAAGAGCCAAACTGTGGAAACAGCCTAAGTGTCTACTGACTGATGAATGGATAAAGTAGCATGTATACAATGGAGTATTACTCAGCCATAAAAGAGAATGAAAACTTTCCATTTGTAACAACATGGTTGGAACTAGAGAGTATTATGCAAAGTGAAATAAGTCACAGAAAGATAAATACTATAATGATTTCATTCGTGTGGAAATTAAGAGACAAAACAAACAAGTGAAGAAAAAAAAAGAAAGAGGCACACTAAGAATAGATTCTTAATTAGAGAGAACAAACTGATGGTTCTCAGAGGAGAAGTAGGTTGGAGAGACTGGGTTAAATAGATGATGGGGCTTAAGGACAGCCCTCGTGACGAGCACTGGGTATTGCATGGAAGTGTTGAATCATTGTATTGTACACCTGAAACTAATATTATGCTCTATGTTAACTGGAATGTAGTGTGTGTGTGTGTATATATATATATACTTTCGTTTATATTTTATCTGAGGTCAAAGACAGACGAAATATTGTCATAAGGTTTTTTCTAAGTTTATTTATTTGAGAGAGAGAGAGAGACAGCAAGTGAGCAGGGGAGGAACAGAGAGAGAGGGAGAGAATCCCAAGCAGGCTCTACATCATCAGCACAGAGGCAATGTGGGGCTCAATCTCATGAAAAGTGAGACCATGACCTGAGCTGAAATCAAGGATCAGATGCCTAACCGACTGAGCTATCCAGGGGCCCCTGTCTTAAGTTTTTGGATATTTTGTTGCCTACTTAAAATTATTTAGTATTGAGGCACCTGCGTGGCTCAGTCAGTTAAGTGGCAGACTCCTGATTTTGGCTCAGGTCATGATCTCACTTTTTGTGAGATTGAGCCCCACAACGGGCTCTCTGTTGACAGTGTGCAGAGCCTGCTTCTGATTCTCTCTCCCTCTCTCTCTGCCCCTCCCCAGTTCGTGTTCACTTGCTCTCAAAATAAATAAACTTAAAAACTTTTTTTAAATTTGGTATTTATCTGGAAGTGTAATTCTTAGTAAAATGTCTTTATCATAGAACAAATTAAACATGCAAGCCTGAATAGACCTTGATTTTCTAAGGAAGTAAATGTAATGTCTATCTCATCGTTGTGATATTTTCAATTTGCTAAACATTACTTAATAAAATCAGTTTTAATTCCAGCGACCCCAAGTGTATCAAAGATTAAAACCCAATCTCAGAGATGTTTCAGCTTTTCAATTTTTCCCCCAGCTAAAGTAAGTTTATTGGTGTGTCTAGAATTACACACATTTTTGGCAAGAAGTTTCTTTGTTACATTGAAGATAAATATTGGCTGATTATTTGAGCCGTTTGGCTGAATGGCCACAAGAGTTGTACGAAATCCTTGTCTGCAAAAACTTTAGAATAAAATTAACTTTAAACTGTTATCTTAAGATGCTTAAAGGCGGATGAAGGCAGGGGAGAAAAATGCTTCTTCTAATATTGTGACAATCAAGTGTGCAGAGTATGTGCTAAAACACTTTAGCAAATGTTTGGCAAGGGTACACAAGTGATTTATAAGTTGAGCAGTTGTGTTGTGCTGGAGTACAACAGATATACTCGGTATGAGGAGTCCCACTTGACTGCAATTTTTCTCCACTCACTCAATGATTGGCAAGATGAGAGCAGTTCAGAAGAAGCTTTGACTTGTGGATACCCCTGGGGTTGCATGTTTATGCTTCTAGAATTTATAAGATACAGTATTGACATTCTTTTGAACAGGATTATGAAGAAATTTGCCAGTCTACCTGCCACGTTCCTGTGGTTCTTATTCACTCTAGCATTGATACAGATTTGTTAGTCACATATGACATCTTCTTGTACTCGCCAATGCCCCACAGCTCCTGAAGAAAGGAGCCTCAGTGTCTCACAGAATTTAGGCAAGTAGATTCTCAGTACTGAATTGCTTCTATTTGTCAGAGCAAGAGAAACAAATGGTATTGATTTAGGGGATAAGCTCCAGAAGACGAATGGTCAGTAAATGAAAAATCTGAACATAACCAGGCAGTAGGTCAGAGCTGATTCAGACGTAGGACTCAAGAGACCTCAGCTTGAAGTGGATCTTATTTACTTCAGAAAAATTAGGGAATTTTAGGATTAGCAGGAAAGTTAAAACAAAGCAAAACAAAACTTGAGTGTTTCTGCAAACACTCAAGTAATATTTGGATAAATATTCAAGTGACATTTAAACATGTATGTTCAAATACGTTGTTCTCAGGATTATTATATTTTTGACTGCCGCAAAATACACTTTACATTTTTTAAATCTCCTGATCATCATCTGTTGAATAGAAGTTTCAAAGGCAAGTTATGAAACTATCAAGAAATTGGCAGAAGAGGATGTCCCTAATTGTTCATTCCATCATTGATCAACTATACTTCCCTGAAAAGTATAAACTCTGATACAGAGAAGGGGTAAATCCTAAGCTCTCAAAAATGTATTTCAATTTCAGTCCTGGAGATATTAGCAACTCTAACTTACTTTTGGATGGTCTGGATTAATTTCTTTAAATTTTTTTTTTAATGTTTTATTTATTTCTAGGAGAGAGAGAGAGACAGCATGAGCAGGGGAGGGTCAGAGAGAGAGGGAGACACAGACTCTGAAACAGGCTCCAGGCTCTGAGCTGGCAGTCAGCACAGAGCCCGACGCGGGGCTCCAACCCACGAACCGTGAGATCATGACCTAAGCGAAAGTCGGACGCTTAACCGACTAAGCCACCCGGGCGCCCCAGTCTGGATTAATTTCTATGCATTTCTAGAACTTGATTTCCAACTAGATCTGGAGGATGACACTGAAGATAAAAATCAACCAATCAAATCTCCAGCTAGCTTCCAAAAGTTGAATCCGAGAGTGATTTGGGCCCTTTCTCTGAATCAGATTTAATCTCTTCCCCCCCACCCCAGAACCCCTGGGTCCCCACCGTGTGCCTTGGTCTCCTACTGAGATCCCAATCAGGCTCTTCCCACTGTCAGATCTTGGCTGTTTCAGGTCTTGTGTCCTTGATATTCTACTCTGAGTGCTTATGAACATTAGTGCTCTGGTAACAGTTTGAACAGCTGCCTTTAATACCTCACAGTGAATAAGGTGAAGATTTGCACTGAGACCCAAGTATGCGTGATCTCTCCCCCTAATCCCAGCCACTGGTAAAATGGCAGAGTGGTTCGAGAACGTCACAATCGAGGCTCCTTCCCTGAACCACTAGCTCCAGCAATTCTTCCAGCTCCCCATTCTCTTGGTTTCCGACAGGTACTAGTACAGACTTAAATGACTTGGGCCAAAGACTCTCCTGCCAGCTGATCTCGTAGGTGTTTCTGGACAAAAAGGCTTAACCTTCCTGGTGCCTGTTCTTCTTTTGGGGTCTGATTCTGCAAGTTCTGGTGTGAGGCAGCTGTGGCCAATGGTGACTGTGAGAGTGCTCTGTTTACCTGCCCAGCAGTAAGTGCTGAGAGGGACCCCAATGCTGGCTCTGTCACCTGCCAGCTCTGTGACGTTATTTAAGCTACCTAAACTCCAAGCTTTGGATTCCTCATCTAGAAAAGACAGATAGTATTACCTCCGTGAGAGGGATCTTATGAGAATTAGAAATAGAATATGTGAAGCTTTTAGCACAGTGTCTGGCATTTAATAGGTACTTAAAATATTTGTCAGTACTATGTGTCATATACTATCTTCTATGTTTTGTGCAAGGATCAAATAAGACTAGTTGCTAAACTTTGTAGGAATACCTTGATAGAAGAAATGAAAATGTAGTCAACTCAGAGTGAAAGGGAAATATCTATTAAAAAAAAGTGGTTAAAATTTTTTAAAAGTATATTTATTTTGAGAGAGAGAGAGAGAAAGAAAGGGTGGGTCAGGGGCAGAGACAGAATCCTAAGCAGGCTCTGCATGGTCAGCACAGAGCCCAATGTGGGCTTGAACCCATAAACTGTGAGATCACAACCTGAGCTGAGATTAAGAGTCAGAGGCTCAATTGACTGAGCCACCCAGGCATCCCGAAAAAAGTGGTATTGTAAAGGATCTGTGTATATTTCTTCTCATTTTATTTTTGCAATTGTAAACCTATCAAAACACAAGCTGATCGGGTTAGTCTCCAGATATTTCCTCTTTTTCTGCTGATCTGCTTCTCTGGGTAAGCAAATTCTAACTGCAAACCCACAACATGGGGCTTCTCCTGGACCCTGCCTCCTTACTCAGTTGCTTTTGATATCACTGCCTTCTGTTTCCTTCTGTCTCATCCCAAATCCTGACCCTGCATTCTAATTTCATCCCTGGCTTTATGCTTGACATATTAGCTTAGCAGGAAGGGCACAGGCATTTCCCACCAGCAAGTAGCTTCCCAGGCTGAACTCTCAAAAATCAGTGCTATTTCTGCATTCATGAGTGTTTATACCTCTTCATTGCTCATGATTCACACCACCTACAACTTCTTCCGAGTCCATTTTCTGACCAGTCTCTAGTATAATTCTCATATTCTCTTACTTATTGCTTGTGACAATTCTCTTTCAGGTCTAGCTTGACAGTTTTTGTTTTGTTTTTTTGAAAGAATACATGAAGAGCGTTTGAAAATTTGGGTTTGCTGGGATCTCATTTTGGAACGCACAGGAATCAGAAATGGAATTTTATCCTGACTGACTTATTGGGGGAAAAAAGTGGAAGGGGACAGAGGGGAGATGATGATATTTTATTATTCCTAAGCACTCCATATTTTCATTTTGGTCATCTTTAGGTGTGCACAAGCAGCTATCACAAGACATATAAAAATGAACCAAGTTTTTTTTTAATTTTATTTTCAAAAGGCAGCAAAAACATATATACAAAACATTATGAAATTCCAATGCCAACATTAGGACCCACCTCCTGCAGTTTACCGGTGTGGAACCCTCACCAAACGCTGGTCTGCAAACAGGCAGGCAAGCAGGATGGAAGTATTCCCTTGATTGCTAGAATTTCTCACAATAAAAATAATAATTAAGGGAACCTTCCTTCAGCTGGATAACCCTGCATAAATAGGCAATACGGTTCATCAAAATGTAAACATACGGCTTTCTGACACCGGTATAGCAAATTCACAACAAGTTGCAATGAGAACAATTGTTAAGTTATCCCACTATAGTGATTCTTACACTTTGCTTCTTCGCTGCGTGCTCCCTGTGAATCTTCTCCCATTCATCTTCTTCTGGATCCTGATCAAAGGTCTCAGGGTAGGCTGGTAGTTTGTCTTTGGGACATTCTTCAAAGTAACTGCGAACATATTTTCCCACAAACCACCCTTTATATTCTTCAGGCATCTTGCATTCTAGGCCGTCATAGTGGACGTTGTAGTGGTGCTTTAACCAGTAGTAGAGGTAGTGGATATTGTAGTCACATCTCCAAGGGTTATCTCTGAGCCACAAGAGTTTCAAAAAATACAAGTCTTCTAATACACCGTAGTCAAAGTTTTGTAGACTGTTGTTTGATAAATCTAACTCTTCTAAATGTGTGAGTCCTAAAAAAGCAGCTAGAAACAGAAAGTATTTATTAGCGCAAAGAGTGGCTGGGTTACAGGCAACTGTATGGTGTATTATAAGGACGTATACACAAAAATGAGAGACCTCATTTTCCTTGTTGAAAAAAAAATTCCCTCCTCTCCTTTTTCTCAGAGCTTTACTTTAGAAAACTTGTAATTTCAAGTACTTTATCCTCTCTTTGAAATGTATGCATACCCTTTAAGAAGACTGACTTGGGCTTCTGTCAACTCTATGAGCCAGGAATGTCTTTCTCAAGGATGTGAGAGCCATCTCCTTGAAATGTAAACATCAAGGAAGACAGAAGCCTTATCTCCCAGTGTCTGTGGGAGAGGACTGGCCTTCCTCCTAGTTGCAAAACTACCTCGTCACAAAGATGGAATTTGTTTTCTTCTGGATAAAGCCAGTTAGCTAACGTAATTGGTCACCTCAGTTGCGAGACAGAGTTAGGATGCCCCATGTATGACAAAGAATGCTGTCAAATCGTTTCACTTAAGGACGAGCTACATATCCTGAAAACATGTATGTATTGCATTGTCTGCTTTGCAGTCACTTAGAAGATTGTCACATTACGGGTTTTTTTTTTCCTCAACTACCTTTATTGAGAGAATCTCTGTGTTGGAGGATTTTGGTTTTAATTATATTTTCCACGGTATACGTGTCTCAGTGCAAAATTCCGAAGTGTGTTTTCACTCACAGAAAGCTTTTCCCTTGATTTAATTGACTACAATATTTTATTTGAAAAATAACTCTTATGTTAACTTTCCAACATATGTTTTTGGGACTCAAGTGCATTTTTAAAATACTCACTGGAAAGATGCCGTGAAAAAAAAAGGCATGAATTAGGAAAATATTTCAAATGTAAGACATAAGTGCATAAAAATGAAAAAAATGTGTATGGTAATGATTTGACAGTTTCCTGGGATATCGGCAAACTCTGAAAATGCCTAGGAAGCAGGCTTTTCCCTTTTTAGGGGGGAGGGAACGATATCCCTGTAGAGTCCAAAATTAAACAATTTTTATCAACATTTCTGAAGACAATCTGGTTGTGTTCTGGCAAGCTATAGTAGCTATCAGCTCTGAATCTATATGTATTTAATTTTGCCGAAGGGTGGGTAATTAACAAATATCAAACATATAACACAAAATAAGACAACAGAAGCCTTTCACCGCTCCCCTTTCCAGGAGTAAAAAAGACATCTAAACATAGATTTTAGTTGATGTGGACTAACCCTAGAATTCATATAGGTCAACCTTGATTTCAAACATCTTGTTCCTATTTCAAACATTTTCTCATTATTGTTTTTTGTTTGCTTGCTTATTTGTTTATTTATTTACTTATTTTTGAGAGAAGAATCGAGTGAGAGAAAGAAAGAGAGAAGATCTTAAGCAGGCTCCATGCCCAGCACGAAGCCCAACATGGGGCTCAATCACAGAGCCAAGAGATCATGACTTGGGCTGAAATCCAGAGTTGGACGCTTAACCAACTTAGCCACCCAGAACCCCTGAATATTGTTTTAAAAATACTTAGGGTATATAATGTCCTTATTTGGGATTTGGAAAATCCCAATTTGGGCTGTAATACCAATACCATGAACCATTTTCATATCATTTGTTCTCAGACAAAACTCATAATTTCCCCTAAAAAGGATACTTTCTACTTTGGTGCAAAAGCAATGGCGGGTGGGGGTGTTGGGAGAGCGCAGGCAGCCGGGGACGAGTGAAAGGGCAGCCAGTATACTGACAGTTTTGAAGACCCTGCATTTTTTCTCCTATTTGCTAACACTCTGTGAGGCAGTGATCTCACAACTTACTTCCCTTGAAACAAGTCAGCCCTTTAGACTGAAAGCATGTGAAAACATCCCGAGATTTTATTTTGAAAGTGCTATACTTTTTACTTAAACCATATGTATTCAGGCACTTGGGAAAGCTGGTTTTCATTTGTTTCTTAGAGGAGATAAATCCTTAATAGAGCATCTTCTTTCTCTCTGCTGCAATCAGGTCTGGGCTTTTATGAAAGTGTTATTTCGTGCCTTTTAAAACCAGCAAATCTTGGGGGCGCCTAGGTGGCTCAGTCGGTTAAGTGTCCGACTTCAGCTCAGGTCATGATCTCATGGGTCGTGGGTTCGAGCCTCGCGTCGGGCTCTGTGCTGAGAACTAGCTCAGAGCCTGGAGCCTATTTCAGATTCTGTATCTCCCACTCTCTCTGACCCTCCCCTGCTCATGCTGTCTCTATCTCTTTCTCAAAAATAAATAAAACATTTAAAAAAAATAAAAATAAAACCAGCAAATCTCAGGGCTCCAGGTGGCTCAGTTGGTTAAGTGCCCAACTCTTGCTATCAGCTCAGGTCATGATCTCACTGTTCATGAGATCAAACCCCATGTGGGGCTCTGCATGTAGAACCTGGTTGGGGTTCTCTCTCTGCCTTTCCTCTGCTCACTCGCTCTCTCTCAAAATAAATAAACCTAGAAAAGCCCCAGTAAATCTCATTGCATTTGTATACCTGCTAGCATAAGTAGTTAACAGAGTCTACTTTCATACTGTTTCATCTCATAGGTCCTGAGATATAGAAAGCTTTTTTATTTTAAAAACTTCTTTAGGCCATTTTGACTTGTTGAAGTGTGGAGATACTTTTTTTTGTTCCAGAAGACATACCGAGAAAGTGGCTGGCATTTGGCAGGTGCTCAACACATATTTGTTAATGTAGAAAATACTTTCCTGGGACTGAAGTGAACAAAGGAGAAGAAAAGAACACTGCTACTGATAACAATAGTTCACCTTGTGTGTCAGCAAGGAAGACACATGGGGTAAACAAGTTTAGGAAGCTTTTAGGAGATCTCAAGGATGGTAAAGGAATCCTTGCAATTATGGGAACTTTATAGCTGATGAGGGAAAACTGTCATTAGAAGTAAAACAAACCCATGTTGCACTATTATCTATCTCTACACTGTTTTCTCTTTTTGCTCTAGCTTTCTTTACACACCGGTTCCATTATGATTAAAACACTGTTGTACCATTACTCACTACTTTAATAAATTTAACTTAGGCCATTAGAATAACAAACATTTTAGTCTCTGTTAGAGAGAACTCTGAAACTAGATTGCGTTAATACTTTTGATAGGTGAAAGCCCAGGGATCTGTGACAAGGCATGCCTGCCTCGCAGTTCTTTGGTTCTCTTGAGGCAAGAGAGGGTCTCCATCTCCAGATTCTTCACCCTGTGGCCTGGCTTTGTGGAGGCTGGCTACCAGTCACTGACCTCCACACTAACATGATGATCGCTTTATTTGGGAGAAGGAGGTCTCTGTTGTATTCTTATTCACTGTGAAATGAAAATGGCTTTTGACTTCACGATTTAAAGATACGGCCAAGTCTACACCATCTATACAGGCTAAGGTATAAGTGTAGCATAATGTTGTTCTTTTGGGAGATTCTTAAATTATCAATTTTTTTTTGAGAGTCAAGTGTGAATGGGGGACAGTCAGAGAGTGGGAGAGAGAGAATCTCAAGCAGACTCCAAGGTCAGTGCAGAGCCTGATGCGGGACTCGATCCCACTACCCTGGGATCATGACCTGAGCCAAAATCAAGAGGTGGATGCTCAACTGAATGAGTCACCCAGGCGCCCCTTAAATTATGATTTCTCAATATTTTAAAAAGATGTTATGAATACTAAAATATGCCTTTGTAGATCCAGAACATTCATTCTCAATTTGCACTTCTACAATGTTAAAATCCTACTGTCCTATTAATATCATTCAGCAAAGCAGAAGTAACAACTGAATTGAAAATATTTATGCCACTAACATTGCATTATTAATAGTATTAATAATCATTTTTATAGACTGTATTTTTCAAATTGAAGTAGCACTATGAAGGAGTGTGTTACGTATGTTCCAAATATGATCAATATTGTAGTAATTCTCAGTTTTTTCCAGATCCAGTGTGTTTACTTAACATGCTCATTTTTGCCAGAGGCTTTGCTTATTATTAACAAATGGAGAAGATATTTGAGGGATGGGAAAGAAAATTAATCTGGATCTAGGATTAGATAAAATGCATCTGGCTCTGGCTTGAGCACATTTTATCTGAATTTATGAGTTTGGTACTTAGCAGACTGTTTCAAGTTTACTTTAAACAAGTTGGAACTTTTAAAAAAATTGTTTTTAGTGTTTTATTTATTTCTGAAAGAAAGAGAGAGCGAGCGAGCAGGGGGTGGGTCAGAGAGAGAGGGAGACACAGAATCTGAAACAGGCTCCAGGCTCTGAGCTAGCTGTCAGCACAGAGCCCGACATGGGACTCAAACCCATGAACCGTGAGATCATGACCTGAGCCAAAGTTGGATGCTAAACCAACTGAGCCACCCAGGCATCCCTAAACAAGTTGGAACTTAATGAATAGCAAAGAAAATGCCAAATCTGAATTTCCCTTTAAAAGTCACTACATGTTTAACATATTATTGGCCACACATTCTTATTTTTAAAGTCTATTCGACAAAACGTTTTTATTTGGATCAACTGAATAACTGTTGCTTAGTAATATATAATATTGTATCCTTCATACAGCAACATTTTGGCAAATATTTCTCTGAGTACCAAACAAATTCTGAATTAGGCGTTATGTTTCATTTACATTTTTAATTCTATAGGTTTTTCAATACTAAATTGTATTTATCATACATGCTGCCATGGGGGGAGAAAAAACAAAGAATACTCATCACCCATTTAAAGGGCTACTCTGTGGAACTTACCAGGATCTATGAATTCAATGCCATTGCTGCTGAGGTTTAATTTTTTTAGCTCATGAACATCTTCGAACTCCTTGGGTCGAAGCTGGTTGATTTTATTGTATGATAAGTCAAGTTTAACAATGTCTGGAGGGATGTTGTTTGGGACTTTCTTCAGCTCTGGAAAAACGAATAGCATTCTGGTTATTGAGGTTTCTTTTCATACCATATTCTCAGTTACTCTTCCACCTGTGGTTGAAGAGTCAACTCTTGAAGATAAAGGGGAAAAGGATAATCTAAAGCTAAATAACATTCGTATAAATGAGACATAGAATGTGTTAACTCCACCAGAGCCCCCTGGACCAGGTGCATCAGGCTTAGAGGAATGGATATCACTCCTCGCTGAGCTGTTCAGAGAAATGTCCTAGACATGGCGCTGGGGCTCATTCCTGGCTGTCCATTAGAAGCACCTGAGAAGCTTTGGAAAAAAAAAAAAGAAGCTAAAAGGAAATGAAACCAATCAAACCACTGTAATTGTGTCCCTTCCCATCCTTCCCTGCTCAAGGAAGGAGTTTTCACTATTAAATACTGCATGTGAGTTGTGTTTTCATTTCATTCTTCTCCTTCGATTTCTTCTGCCAACAAAAAAGCTCAGGTCTCTCCACTCTTAAAAAATGAACAAAAAGCTTTTGACCTTGATCTTATTGATCCTTTCCTCGGATGCTAAAATTTGAGGAAGTGTAGTCCTGACCTGTTGCCCCTGCTTCCTCCTTGGCATGTATCCCCTGAATCCTTGTGATTTAGTTTATACTCCAGCACTCCTAGACTCTGGGCACCTCAGGAACAACACTATTACTGTTAACTGTCACTACTGCTAGAGAAAAAGCCTCTGGAAAGCAGTCCAGGTTATCTTTCACAGGTTAATAGGAAATCAAGGTTCACCTAATTTGTTTCTATTTACATTTCTCTTTAAATTATGCTTTGAAAATAGTGTTATTTAAAAGCACTTTTAAAATGTTTGTTTATTTTTGAGAGAAAGAGAGAGAGAGAGAGAGAGAGAGAGGCAGAACATGAGTGGGGTAGGCTCAGAGAGAGAGGGAGACACAGAATCCAAAGCAGGTTCCAGGCTTTGAGCTGTCAGCACAGAGCCCGTTGTGGGGCTCGAACCCACGAACCAGGAGATCATGACCTGAGCCAAAGTTGGACACTTAACTGACTGAGCCACCCAGGCTGCCCTAAAAATATAGTGTTATTTTATATTTTAGTGTAATATTTGCCCTCTTAATCTTTAGGAAAACATTCTAAGGAGGTTTTATTTAATTTTTAAATAGGGCACTTGAAAACTGACGAGACACAAGACTGTTTCCACAAAAGAAAACTAGAAGCAATAAAATGTCAGGATTAACTGACACCTGAGAAATAGCATGGCCCAAAGGCTTTCTGAATAAAATGTTTGGAACTGGGTACAGTAAAATAAGCATATAAAAGGTGGTATCCATTTATCCATAATACCCTTTTTGGAACAGGATAATTGAATTGCTGATAATTTCTTCAAAATAGTAAAAAACCAAACAGAAAACTCTGGTATTTATGACTTCTTAGTCTATACCCAGGTTTATTTTTTCCCTTTTAAGGTTTATTTTTCCCTTTTAAGACTCAGAATCCATGGTCTTACATGGTATTGGTAGTTCCTTTCTGTTAAATTTGCTTTTTCTTCTTGATGGAATCTTAGTGTCTTGGTATCTATGTGCAGGAAGTGTTGTGGGTGTTCTAACAAGTATTAAATGACAAGAACCCTATGGGCTAAGTACTATGATTATTCTCATATTACAGGTGAGGAAGCTGAGGCACAATTTGCCAGTAGTCACAGTCCTAGGATTGAAACACACATTAGCCTAAGATTGTATGTTTCTAACCACTCTGCTCGGCTGCCTGTTCCTGGTACCTTTCTGCTGCTTTTATGCTACTTCATCTGCCCTTGAATCCTCAAGCCTAGCACAGGGTAAACCTGGAGAGGAGAAGGAACAGAGGTGGAGTCAATGTACTGGGGTGGCAAGAGACCTTCCTAGCTCTATATTTAAAATGATGTCGGGATGCCTGGGTGGCTCAGTCGGTTGAGCATCCGACTTTGGCTCAGGTCATGATCTCACGGTTTGTGGGTTCGAGCCCCATGTCAGGCTCTGTGCTGACAGCTAGCTCGGAGCCTGGAGCCTGCTTCAGATTCTGTGTCTCCCTCTCTCTCTGACCCTCGCCTGCTCATGCTGCCTCTCTGTCTCAGAAATAAATAAAATTAAAAAAAATAAAATAAAATGATGTCTCCCTGTTTTCAGTTGAGCAATAACAAATACTCCCTGCTTTTCCTCAATGGTAAGTTATCACCATCAGACATAGTATACATTTTACTGATTGTTTTCATTTTTGTCCTCTCCCCACCATAGAAGCTTCATAGTGGAGGCTTAGGACAATGCCTGATACAGCCTAAATAAATGATATGTGGCAGACAGCTTCTAAAATGGCACTCAATGTTCTCTACTAACATGTATGTCCTTGCATAGACCCTTCCTTTGAATATGGCTTGAACCCATGACTTGCTTCCAACAATAGGATGCAGCAAATGTCAGTGGATGCCATGTCCACAATCAGGTCACAAAAGATCGTGACTTTCCTTTTGCCAGCAGACCCTCTCCTGCTGACTTTGATGAAATAAACTGTCATGTTGGAGAGGCCATGTGGCAAGGAATTCAGGGTGGCCTCTGGCAAACAGCCAGCAAGGAACTCAGGTCCTCAGTCCAACAACCCTTGAGGAACTGAATTCTGCCAATGGCCGCATGAGCTTGGAAGAGGAGCTTTCCCCAGCTGAGTCTTCAGATGAGACCGCAGGCATGAGTTCTGATGAACACATTGATTGAAGCCTTGTGAAAGATCTGTAAGCAGAGAGCCCAGCTAAGCCATGTGTGGTTTCTGACCCACAGAAACGATGAGATGATAAATGTGTGTTGTTTCAAGCCACTAAGTATTGGGGTAGATCGTCACCCCATTGTAAATAAGAGCTCATGAAATGTTGAATTTGATGATTTCAGGATACTTAGGACTTGTGTAATAAAATGCTTTCAAAATATGGAGCGATCTTATTTTTGTCCTTTGGTAAGGCACTATTCTGTTTGACTTAGAATTGTGTTTGCCAATACATTAAAAGGTGAAAGATTTTAAGACTTGAACTTACAGTGTTGCAACAGTGAGGTTATCCTCCCTTTAAGATCATCCAGACCCCAAGTGGAGAGCTATATTCTCTCTGGAGGCCTACTTTTAAACAAGGAAATGGAGATCCCCGCAATAATTAAAAACCATGGAGAGAATTGAGGAAAGATCAAAGAAATAATTTCTTGACATTAAGTGTTTGGAATAATAATTGGAAATGGCTGTGACATCTTCTTAGAAAGATTTTAAAAGCACAATAGAGTTTTATTTCAAAATACCCAGTTTTATTTCAAAACACTCTTCTCAGTTCCTCCGTTGCTACCACATTGGTCTAAGTCAACATCAGCTCTTGTCTGGATTATCCCCAAAGTGTCCTAAGCCCATGTGACTGTCAAAACATAAATCAGAACATGCCATTTTCCCAGATGGCTTCTAATCCTCCAGAGATTCCCATCTTACTATGAATAAAACCTCAAGTGCTCATTAAGGTCTTATAAAGCCATTAAGAACTATAGGTTGTCATTGCCACCACAGACAGTATCTCCTAGGTTTTAGAAAGCAGGCTATTTATCAGGATTTGCTTGCTGAGCCCACATCTGTTGGGTTGGGCATGGGGTGGATGACAGAGACCTCCCAAGCAACCGCTGTAGGACAAGCTGAAGTGGGTAAACCACAAATAAATGGGTAGAAAAAACAGTTAATGAGAACTCCCTGAAACTCAGCGTAAGCAATGTGACAGGGCCTGTGGATGTTGCAAAGGGACTATGAATTGCAGAACCAACTTTGGCATTGTCAGCAATAAAACTAGGGTAAAAGTAGGATCCACAAGTAAAAATGAGGAAATACAACCCAAAGCCTTTGCTAGTGTGGCTTGGAAAAACATGGAAAGATCTTATTTGTTGTATTGATGAGTAAAAACAGTTCTTTAGTTCTTTTATCTTAAACTTGAATGAGAATTGCAAATACTGATATAAAATGTGTGTGCCTTTGATAGAGATTAAAGAAATACAAATTTCCCCAGGCCACAAGTCAAATTTGGTCAATGCCCCCATTTCTAAACCAGGCACCACCTCGTTATTTGCTGCTACCTAAAATTCTTGGTAAACACACAAAACATACCTCATATACTCTATCGTCACCCTTGACAAACCTTACCATTCCCCAACCAAAACTTGCTGAGTCTGAGGAGTGAACTGGGAAATTTTCTCCATGTAATTTCCCAGCTGATTGGCCAACTTATGTATGTATGTATGTATGTATGTATGTATTAAGAGTGAGCAAGCAAGTGTGCACAAGCTGGCGAGAGACAGAAAGAGAAAGGGAGAGAGAGAATCCCAAGCAGGTTCCACATTGTCAGCATGGAGCCCAATTTGGGGTTCAAACCCATGAACCGCAAGATCATGACCTGAGCCAAAATCAAGAGTTGGTCATCCAATTGACTGAGTGCCCAGGCGCCTGTTAGTGGGATATCTTAGTTGACAGCGATGTCAGAACTACTCTGAAGGCTCAGTAGTACGAGGCAAAGAGCCATAAATGACTGATTTTGCAAATAAAAAATTATTAATCATTGTTTAACTAGCAGTGAAATTAACTTCAGAGGCAGCTGAGAGCACTTTATCTGTATAATTCCCCCCAGCCCGAATCTTAGAAGTAAAATGAATCCTTAAAAATTGTAAATTATTCTGATAAATATGAAGTTAAAAATGCAGTTTTCAATTCTTTCATGTATTTTTGGCAAATACATTTACCTTAATGTGGCATAAACATGCCTTTCAACTAATGTCACATTTATTCCCTTTGGAAGACTAAGTTTTGTTAGCAAAGTGCCTGTCCCTCAGTGAATAAAGCTGTTATTTCTTTTTCTCACTGTCCAATGTTTTAAGACAAAAATAGTGATCTTTGAGGTCTGTGTGGTTAAACTGGCACATATTAGGTACCCTATGCATACTGTCTGACTCATCATCTGTCAGCTGGGAAAGACACAACTCCCGAGTTAGGGGAATTTATATTTGGGTTTCCTGTGTGTGCTCATGTTCATGGTATATTATACAGAGCCTAAAAGGAGAATCAGTAGGGATGCCTGGGTGGCTCAGCTGGTTGAGTGTCTGACTTCAGCTCAGGTCATGATCTCCCGGTTTGTGGGTTCAAGCCCCATGTCCGGCTCTGTGCTGACAGCTCAAGAGCTTGGAGCCTGCTTTGGATTCTGTGTCTCCCTCTCTGTCTGCCCCTTCCCCTACTCACACTCTGTTTCTCTCTCTCAAAAATATACAAACATTTAAAAAAGAAGAATAAAAAGTGGAGAATCAGTACTGGGAGAAAGCACCCAGAAAGCTTTTATACATCTTTCTTGGTTGATGTACCTGGAAGCATGAAGGAAGAGATGATATTGCATGATCGCCAGTGGCTTGGGGGGACTGCCTGTGGGAACTTAAAAAGGCAGCTTACCTTCTCTACACCTCAGTTTCCTCCTTTCTGAGGGTAATAACAGTGTTCTCTGAAGGCTGAGGAGTAAATTACATACTGCATTTACTGCTGGTACCATCCTGGATAGCATGTTTTAGGCTTCTTTAGATTCTATATAGGATCTAACACAGGGACCATAAGCAAAAGTATTACTCCACTTCAGCAGGGAGCTAGAGATGAATTGCTGAACATTCTTAGTATTTGACATTTGTTACCTACTCAGAGAATGGAATAAGGAAAATTACAGATTAAATACAGATTGTCATACTTGAGTTCTAGCCATGATTTTTAATTCTATGTATTTTTATTTTTAAAGGTTGCTTAAATTATGGCCTTTGCAAGACCAAAGAAGGCAGCTCAGTTATTATCATCAGTCCAAAGCACATAGCCCTGTTCCAGGCAGTACCTGGGAGTACAGCGGGTGTAAGAACAAGACCATTGCCTTTATGAAAAAAAAAAAAAACAACCAACTGAATCAATAGATATAGATCAATCAGGGGCGCCTGGGTGGCTTAGTCGGTTAGGCGTCCAACTTTCGCTTAGGTCATGATCTCGTGGTTCGTGGGTTCGAGCCCCGCGTCAGGCTCTGTGCTGACTGCCAGCTCAGAGCCTGGAGCCTATTTCAGAGTCTGTGTCTCCCTCTCTCTCTGACCCTCCCCTGCTCACGCTCTCTCTTTCTCTCCTAGAAATAAATTTAAAAAAATAGATATAGATCAATCATAGTGAAAGCAATCTATATTGATGATATTAACAGACAAAACTGCCCTTCACTTCGTAATCTATATTGTATATGCTCTCACTTATGTAGTCATTAACATTTGGAGGACCTTGAGTTGTCCTTTCATGTATAACCCAGTATTATTATATGTATAGTGTGTATTGTTTCCAGAAAATATGTATATTTTAACACAAGAAGGGATGAGATTATGGGGCATATATGGAAGGTTGTGTTTAGACAACAATAAGTTGAGGAAAGAAAACAAGAAATACATCTGTTTTTATAAGTTGATGTTTGACAAAAGAAAATGAGACAAAAATATCATGGGAAAAAAGACAAAGGCAGAAATAGGCTCATTGTGGAAGGAATGGTCCAAGTGCAGTAAAGCAGTAAAAATGGAAGAGATTTCCTAACACGTTATCTATTCTTAAGTTACAGTGCAGTCTAGCTGTAGAAGTCTTCGATTTTGTGTCAATGGCATTTTTCTCAGATATCAATGCACTAAACTGTGCATGCTTTGTCACCTGATGCAGCAAGTGTAAATTAACTTTACATACCACAGCTATATCAAGTAATCTTTCTAACTAAAGTTTAGGATTAGTAGCATTGTATTAGTTTTTTAAATATCTAATTTAAGTTTTCTAAAAAAAATTTTTTTTAAATTGTTTTTTAATGTTTTATTTATTTCTAGGAGGGAGAGAGAGAGACAGCGTGAGCAGGGGAGGGTCAGAGAGAGAGGGAGTCACAGACTCTGAAACAGGCTCCAGGCTCTGAGCTGGCTGTCAGCACAGAGCCCGACGTGGGGCTCGAACCCACGAACCGTGAGATCATGACCTAAGCGAAAGTCGGACGCTTAACTGACTAAGCCACCCAGGCGCCCCTCTAAAAAAATTTTTTAATGCTTATTTATTTTTGAGAGAGAGAGACAGAGCACGAGCAGGGGAGGGACAGATAGACAGGGAGACACAGAATCCCAAGCAGACTCCAGGCTCTGAACTGTCAGCACAGAGCCCAATGCGGGGCTTGAACTCATGAACCTCGAGATCATGACCTGAGCTGAAGCCCAGTGCTCAACTGAGTCAGCCACCCAGGCACCCCTGTAATTTAAGTTTTTAATCTAAACATCACAAAGGCATTGCTGGTAAAACATGTTCTTCAGCATGAAACAGTAAGTAGTCAGGGTAACAAGGTCAGGGAAATTCCACCCAGTCTGACTATCAAGAAACTGTGTATACTGACTTTTCTAGAATTCTTTAATCTTTCTATTGTTGAGACAGCTGTTTGCTTGAATGTAATCAGATTAAGGAAGATGGCAAGATCAGGCAGACCAAGCTTCAAATCTTGGCTTTGCTGCTTAGCCGTGAGACATCAGGCCCAAGCGACTGGACCTCCCTCAGCTTCATTTTTCCCAGCTGTAAATAAGGATAAGGCTACCTTCCTGGAAGCTGTGCACAGTATGTGTTCAGTTAATGAGCACTTTCTCTCCAGTTTAGAGGATCCCGGCATGATGTCTCTTGGGTCATGACACTAATTGTTCTACTACGGCACCCAACGATACACGTCTAACAGGGTGTTGTTGTAAGCAAACCTTTCCACGTCACTCGGCTGTGCTTTGCTCTCACCAGGTGCCACCCTTGGAGTCTGGGAGAGAGGGGCAAGGCTTGAGCACGTCTTTGCTGATAAATGAACGCGTTTACTCCTGGTTCAGGTTGCCAGCCTCTTCGGCGCCAACAAATTCCTGCCTCTGGTTCTCTGCAAAGGATCCAGGGTCTCTATGTTGCTTTTAACCTCTTTGTGTTCTTAAAGAAACACAACCAAGCAAAACTTCCTCAAATAAGTGGAAGGAATGACATCATGCTGTAATGTGACCCTGGCCCAGTGACAACTAGCTTTAATTGAATACTACAAATAAGTCATTAATCCATGCCAGAAACAAAACAGACACTGTCCTATGGCTGGTTATCCTTGGGTAGATTGCAGTTCCCAGACCACCCTTTGAGAACGTCTTCACTAACTCGTCAAGGGCATTACTAAAGTTTCCCACTTTCTTATTTCATGAATTAATCCTGTATGTGCAAACCCCGTGCAGCACCACACCAAGACTGTGTAGGATGTAAAACTCTGCAATGATTTTTCAGGAAGTAGGTAATATTCTGGAAAGCTTTTCTTAGCCTCTTAATTCTTGAATTAAATATTTTCAATTTAGTTCTTTCAATACTTTTAGGTTTTTTTGGGGTGGGTAATTTGGAGACAATGAAGATACAGGACGTTAGCAAGCATTTAGTGAAACCTTGAGACCAGAGGCACCTGGGTGGCTCTGTCAGTTGAGTTTCTGAGTCCTGATTATGGCTCAAGTCATGATTCCAGGGTCATGGGATCCAGCCCCACCTTGGGCTCTGCACTGATCATGGAGCTTGCTTGGGATTCTCTCTCTCTCTCTCTCTCTCTCTCTCTCAAAACAAGCAAAAATACTTGTGGCCAAATTCTGAGAAGTACAGATGTGCCATCACTACATCCCACATAGCCTCCCTCTCACAGTGCCCTTACCTGTCCCCTTTCACACATGATTTTCCTGGAGGTAATTTCCCCACAGACACACAAATCTGTTTTTGCTTTAAGTCACATTATATAGACAGCATTTGGACTTGTTTTTATACTCACTGGTCTACCTAAATTATACTACATTGTGATTTAAGATAAAGGGGATTCTTGACAGCCACAGGTTTTGATTAGCAAACAAGAGTAGCACCCGACTGGCTGCCCTTCCTGAGCATACCTTTTTCCCTCCTCTACTGTCCCCCAAATCCCCAACCTTGGAGTCAGAACCCTAGAAAAGTTTGGAGTAAATTCCATTGTCATGGGGAAAAGATTTCTGGTGGAAGTGACACCAGAAATCCCAAGGCATGGTGGAGTGTACGGAGGGTGAGAAGATTCAAAGAGCATTTTAAATCATCCATGAAAACAAAAAACTAAGAAACTTACAAACCTTTCCGTTTGCAGTCCAGCGTTTGTATGGGGAACACGTAATTGTAGCAAAGAGAAGAGTCCACTTCAGGCTTGATGACTGTGGGTCTCCCTGACACTTGAGGTTTCGGGTCTAATTGTTCCCTTTCTTCTTCATTGCACAACTGTTCAGATTTTATCTGCCGCAGCTTTTTGTTTCTTAGATCTTGTGGGCTTTCGCACTTGGCATAGTTCCCCAAATTCCGGTTTCTTGGAATCTGCAACATTGAAATAAGCGTTTCCATCTCACAAGTACAGTGCCAGGGGTTGTCATAGAGACGCAGGTAGCTCAGGAGAGGCGTATAAATGAACACTTCCTCCGTCAAGACTTTGATTTGATTGTGCTGCAGTAGGAGAGTAGTAAGTTTATTTAAACCAAAGAAAGCCTCACTCTCAATTTTGGAGATCTCATTCTGCTGCAGATCCAGGCTTTTCAGCTTCTTGAACTTGGAGAACATCTTGTTCTTCAGTATGCGGATCTTGTTCCTTGCTAACAGCATGTGCAGCAAATCCTGAGGCCAGTCGGGCAGCACATAAACTAGTTTTCTTTCTTGACAATCTAAGTACTTCTCGTGAAGGTAGGTGTACACTTCGCAGGGGAGGCCTGGCGCGTAGCGCTTGACGGGGTTGGAGCCTCTCTTGCTCCCGCCGGCCCGGCCATGGTTCATTCGGCCTCTGGAGCCCCCTAGGCTGGCCCTGCGGAGCTCCACGGATTTACAAAAGAAGAGCAGAATTACCACAGTGACCACGCGCATCCTGACATCCAGCTGGTCCCAATTACTTGGTGTGACAGATGGAACCAAGAAAGTTTTCCTTTGAAATCCAAGTTTGGGTAATCTTAGCTAATGCAATTTGGAACGAAGAGACCCAGCTGAGGTACGATGGAGTCCCTAGGTTGCAAGAGAAAAACATCTATGAAGAACCACTGTGAACATTGTGTTATTAACAGATAGTAGCAGCTTCTTAAAAAAAAAACATTCATTTTCTTTAGATATATTTTTTATGGTGGTATAAATGACGTATAACATTATATTCGTTTCAGGTGTGTGACAGAATGGCTCAACATTTGTATATATTGTGAAATGATAGCCACAATAAGTTTTTTGGTTTTTGTTAAGCAAAGACATTGCAATTAATAAAGGCACATTCTGAACAGGGGTGAGCGCATCCTCCCACTTGCCCCGTTTAGTGGCCAAATGTTTTGGGCCCAGAGTTTCAATGAAGACTCTCCTGCTTGCTTAACTATGTGACCTCAGGCTAGTTATTTAACCTCAACTTCAGAATCTATAAAATGAGGCTGACGTAGAGTGCCTGGGTGGCTCAGTCAATTAAGTCTCTGACTTTTTTTAATTAAAAACATTTTTTAAATTTATTTCTGAGAGAGAGAGACAGCATGAGCAAGGGAGGGTCAGAGAGAGGGAGACACAGAATCCAAAACAGGCTCCAGGCTCTAAACAGGAGTTCAGCACAGAGCCCGATGCGGGGCTCGAACCCACAAACCATGAGGTCATGACCTGAGCCAAAGTCGGACACTTAATTGACTGAGCCACCCAGGCGCCCCAATTCTCTGACTCTTGATTTCAGCTCAGGTCATGATCTCATGGTTCATGAGTTCGGGCCCCACTTCGAGCTTTACTCTGACGGTGTGGAGCCTGCTTGGGATTCTCTCTCTGCCCCTCCCCTGCTCACACTGTCTATCTCAAAATAAATAAATAAACTTAAAAACAAATGAGGCTGAGGATACCTGGTAGTATTGCTGGGAGAATGAAATGGGCTCACGTGCCTAAGACACTTCATAGAACCTGGTCCAGGAGAAGTACTCCAGTGTGTCAGGGCTTAGCGTTATGAAAACTGAAACATGTAATGTTATCAGCACATCAGATTCAAGAAGTGAAAGGGATACTTCCAATAGCCTTGAGATGGTCACGAAAGGAGTAGGTCCCCAATAGCAGTCCTCCTGAGCTTGTGTTTTTCCTTCCTGTTCTGTCTCCCAATCACCAACCATATTGAATGTGAGATATGGAAATGTTCAAGGTAAATAGCACTGTCCTTGGCAAATCTTACACATCTTGCTTCAAATGTCACCTGAGCAAAGCCTCCTATGACTACTCTGTTTAAAGTGGCATCTCTTTCCACTTGCTAGCCACTGTCTACCTTCTTTTTTATTTTTCTCCATAGCACTAATCTCCACCTGTCAAAGTAGATATTTCACTTCTTGTGTTTACTGTGTCTCCCCCCATGAGGATGTGAATTCCCTAAGTTGGGCAGGGACTTTTGTCTATTGTGTTCACTTGCTGTATTTCTAGCACCTGTAGAGTTTTTGGCATATAACAGGTTCTTTGTTTTTTCTTATTTTTTTAATGTTTTATTTATTTTTGAGAGAGAGAGAGAGAGAGAGACAGAGTGTGAGCAGGGGAGGGGGAGGGGCAGAGAGAGAGGGAGACACAGAATCCAAAGCAGGTTCCAGGCTTTGAGTTGTCAGCATAGAGCCTGAACGGGGCTCAAACCCACAAACTGTGAGATCATGACCTGGCCCAAAGTTGGTCACTTAACCGACTGAGCCACCCAGGTGCCCCCACATAACAGGTTCTTGATAAATATTTGTTGAATGCATGAATTAGTCTCAAGTAAATATTCTATAAAAATATTAACATCATAAATTTATTATTGCATTGTTTTTGGGAATCTGTTTTCTTCCTTAACAAGTATTACTGATGACTTCTAAGGTCTGCACATTTTAAAGAATTGTTTTCACTTTTAAATTCTGAAAGTGGCTTTGGTTTGCATTTATTTCTTAGGACACAGTCCATTCTTGGCAAAGGAAGAAATGTTCATCATCTATTTATAATTAATAACATTTCTCTTGTTATTATTGTAGGGCTAAGTGGTTATGAGCAGCAGATGTGGTTTCTATTCATTGCAGCAGTGTAAATGCCAGGATGTTTGGAGTTTTCCTGCTCGATGGGGGTCTCCTCCACCTAGAATGACTTCCCCCTGTTTGCCTCAAATGTTCCTCCCTTTTACTGTTTTGTGTCCTCTCCCCTAGATGCTTGTTTTCCATCTCAGATTTGGAGTTTTACTTCCTGTCAGTCTAGACCCAGAGTGCTGACTGTAGAACACTTTGCTATCCAGCTCTTTGTGGACATATGTCATCTTCCCTGTGAGACCGTAAGCTGTACAGTTTCCCCTGGTCCCAGAGCTAACCAGGCACTTGGCCTTTCTGATCCTCTACTTCTCTGCAATTCATTATAAATTGTATGTAAATCTAATCTAAGTACATCCTAAATATTTTGTTAATTATGATGCATGTTGAATTATTTACAATACGCATGCTGATGTGTGAGCATTATACATCATACATGTGCTATGCCTGCAGCTTTCTTCAAAATGCATAAAAAATAAGTTGGATTGAAGGATAGATAGAAAAGATGGATGTATAGGTGACTGCGTGACAACGCAAATACTGTGCAATAGAAATAGAATCTTGGTAGTGGGTTATATTCATTGTACAATTCTTCAAGTCTTTCAACTTTGCTGTGTTTGAAAAATTTTACAATAAAATGATAAAAGAAAACAAAATCCAAAAAATGAGCAAAAAGCCGTGCCACAAAATAAGCAGGTTGTTTTTCTTCCAAGCTCTAAGTATATACTGTTTTTCCCAAAGTAGTACTTTTCTTTTTCCCCTTTCCTTCTGTAATCCTCAAACAATAATAAACATGTGTATGTATTTTAATTTTAAAGCCAGAAGAAATCGGTTTTCTGGGAAAAGGAACCATATACTTAGAACAAGTTACATGCCAAAATTTTTGTTTGTTTTCTAATGAATACATCACATTGAATGTAGGATGGAAAATTTTTAAGTTTAACCATTTTTACTGTGTTGTTCAGTGATGTTTAACTTGTTTGATTTAGGCCTCTGTAGAAATCTGCAAGAGCTGAATGTGTCTGACTGCCCAACACTCACAGTAAGTATATGAAATTTATTTTACTGTTATTTATATAGATTCAGACTTGCTGTGTTGGAGTGCCAATAAACAGAGATTTTGCCAAAATGTGTGCCTGTGTGCTCATTTAGGATCAAATGTTAAAAAAGCAAACTATGTTAAACATTGGCAAGAAATTTTATCCCATTTGTATAATGCTATTTATTATTCATCCTGTAGCTATCTGCCCAAGGTTGGAGTCTCTGGAAATGGAAACTATTTAACAATTACACAAAAATGAACTATATTTATATTTAAGGCCACGTGTGTCTGAGACAGAAAAAACTGGGTCCCAGTAGAGACAATAGGCTCATTTTAGTGGTCTTCACGGCTATCAGGTGTGTGCCAAAGAAGATAAAAATGAACATGTAACCTGGAGCAGCTGCTTCCTGGTCCCTCTCTCCAAGCTTTTCTTTTACTTCCAATCTGTCTTCCACCCTGTGAGTGCATATGCTTTCTAAAAGGAAGATCTGATCATTTTACTCCTATTTTCCATCATTTATACATACATATTCGTCACCTACACTATTGATAAAGTCGAAGCTCTTTAACGTTACTCTACCTCGGACACCCTCTGGGGTCTTGCATCCTTTTCCACCCCATCTTGCTCCAATCCCTACGTCCACAGTAAGCTGCAGCAACCATGCACTGCGATGCTTTCTTTGCTCCAAGAGTCAAGCTGCTCTTTGCCGTTTCTCTTTTGCTCAGGCCATACTCTTGGCATGGAATGACCTTTTCCTTTGTCCTCAGGTGCCCCTACAAAATGGGGCACCTCAGGCTTTAAGGCTTACTTTTGGTACCACTTCCTTTATCAAGACATCACTGACTCCCAGGGCTGGGTTCGTTGCTGCTCCTCCGGGTCCCTATAATAAATATTCCTAATCACAGCATTTCTGCCTCCTCCAGTAGCCTAAGGGGCCCAAAGCACAGGAGATGTATCTTATGTTTTGTGGTAGTCATAGCACATAGCACAGACCTTGGCATGGTAAATACTCTATAATGTTTATTTAATGAATAGAGTTGTGCAGAGATATGTAGTAGGTAATGGACAAGATAGCATACAACTTGAAGTTCCATCTTGGACTGACCTGTTCGTATGATTTTTTAAAAGTGTTTATTATTATTGAGACAGAGAGAAACACAGCATGAGTGGGGGAGGGGCAGAGACAGAGGGAGACACAGAATCCAAGGCAGGCTCCAGGCTCTGAGTTGTCAGCACAGAGCCCGACGCGGGGCTTGAACCCACGAACTGTGAGATCATGACCTGAGCCGAAGTCGGACGCTCAATCGACTGAGCCACCCAGGCACCCAGACCTGTTTGTATGATTAATTAACGTCACAAAAGTGAATATGATCAGCCTAGAGAGAGAAAGAAGGCATGAGAAGATGATTTAGGAGAGAACTTTGGGGGGTTTCTGGCTTTTAGAAGTAGGCAGAGAATCAATAGCAAAGAATCTCCAGAAAGAACAGTAGGAGAAGCAGGGTGAAAACAGAGGAGTCTGGCTGACTGTCATGCTCATTAAGCAGCAACTCCAGAGTGACATCCACACCCTTGACTCCCTTGCTACCTCCCAGGGTTGTCATTATTTCTTTCAAATTTCTGTTTCATTCTGTGGATATTTTTAGTACCTACTGCATTAAAAGATGTATTTATCTGTATATGTAAAGATATATAGGGAGTTTACATGCTATAACATACAGGTGTTAGAGGGAATTTAAAGGGAATCAAGTTTCAGTTCCTGCCCTCAGGGAGCTTTAGTTTTGCACTTGAATAAAAGATCACAGTCTTTAAATTTGGCTTTCTAATAGGAAAGTCAAAACACTGCCATCTGCATTGAATTTGTGAACATCAAAGTCTTGTCCAGTTTTGGAGTCTAATACTATACAGGGCTGATAATTTTATCCAGCTACATTTTACTGTTGTTTTTCGCTTTGAGACATAGACTGGGGAGGCAGGTATACATTTAAGGAGCCGTGTAACATCCATTCAGATAACTTTATTTCTAAGAAGCTTGCCTCATGAATATATTACATTCAGAAAGATTTGAGAGCATTGTGGACAAATTCAGAAACCATTTTGTAGGGGCGCCTGGGTGGCCCAGTCGGTTGAGTATCTGAGATCAGGTCATGATCTCACGGTTCGTGGGTTTGAACTCTGCATCGGGCTCTGTGCTGACAGCTTGTTCAGAGCCTAGGGCCTGCTTCGGATTCTGTGTCTCCTTCTCTCTCTCTGCCCCCCCCTCCCCCCACGCCGCATCCTCCCTCCCGCCCCCTGGGTGTACTGTCTCAGTCTCTCAAAAATAAATAAATGTAAAGAAAGAAAAGAAAAACCTTTTTGCAATGAGGACAGTCAAACTGTTTTTGAGTTTATGTGCTCAAGTGTTTGGGGATTGAACATTGAGTTCTTTTAAATACTGAGAGTAGGATTCGTCTGAAACTTTTTGGATATCCAAGCTCTGCCAGACAGGAAAATGTAATAAATGGTTTGCCTCCATATCTTAAAGGAAAGCCAGATTCCTCTATGGTGCAGAAGACATATTTCATCTTCCTCCTCCTGGCCCCACATTTTCATCTTCTCTGTGGCTACCTCTCTACGGGTGGGTGTACAAACCAGCTTTCTATCTTCTCCTTGCTCCATCTCCATCTCATTTGTATTTTTGCCAGAGACTTTCAATGGGTGTACAATCACTTTGATATTTGATTGGTACCATGAACATTTTTCAAGACAGGTTTCGTTTATATTAAAGTACAATGTTGCTCGTTATGGTTCTTCTCTCCATGCCTCTGGGAAAACTGTACTGCATATTTTTAAAATCAATCCATGTATATCCAAACCCTGCATTTTAGGGGTGGAGTATCTAGAAAAATCCCTGGCAGCTTGAATGCAGTGGCAAAAATACAGTGTTTATTGAAAACCCTGACGTTGTTCCCATGTGTCATCGGCACAAAGAACCTTTCCCTATAGCAGAACTACAGCTTTTACAACTGCACGATTTTGTTATTTTAATATCCATGGCTCTGGGAAATAGCTAGGAATACAATGGTAAACACTGTTGATCCAGCTGAAAATAAACCTTTGCCATCCTTAGTAGTGCTGGAGGTGGCCATACTGAACACGCAGAATTCTTTCCCAAACCACATCCCCTAGCCAAGTGCCAATTCACATCTTTCTGTAATGGTCTATTCTTTCCAGGACTGATGTGTCACAAGCTCACCTCATCGGTGTCTCACCAACCATAATTAAATAAATAAAACCATGCTGCTCCTTACTTATACTAAAGCATCTTACGAGTAGTTACCCATCTGAGAAGGAGTTCCACTGCAATGAGAGCTTGCAAGTCATCTGGTCTTGTAAATGCCATGTTAGGGCTCATGCTTGAAATCACTATTCGTTTTCCTGTCATGCTCAGGTCATGGTGGCATTGTTCTCTGGTACCCCAGTTTCAGCTCTCTGGGGGACGGGTGCTTGAATCCTTGAGGGTCTTACCTGCAACACCCTCAACACAGAACTTCATGTTCAACATGCATGTAGCCCATATTTTACTTCAGGCCTCCTCAAACTTACCATAAATTTGGTGAGGATCTGTTTAGCTGTTTTAGTACATTCAGTAACAGAATCACAAAAACTTAATTACACACACACACACACACACGCACACACACGCACACATTTCTATAAATCTATATTGAGTCACTTTTAAAGAGGTCCAGTTTAGAACATTTACTATTCCTGTCTTTCAGAATGATTTTAGTGAGCTTAAAAATAGATCAGGTTTTAATCACTTTCGTGCATCTGAAGAGTCAGGAGCGTTTGACAGTTTGACACTTAAGCTCAAATTTACTGTTAGAGTTGAACTTGCAAAGGTTCAAACTTTAAAGAAGTGTCACCATGATTGAATGGGACTTGATTTCCAAAGAAAGGAAAGGGGAAAGAATAATGAAGCCTCAAACAAAACCATCACCTTCTATTTAATTTGATTTACAACTAATATCAAAGAATATGAAGAGACCAAGACTTGCATATACTATTTTTGGAGCAGGGAAAGAGATAGTAGAGTGATCATGGGGAAATAATAAAGCTTGTTAGACTTAAAAAAATTTCTTTAATGTCTATTTATTTTACAGAGAGAGAGAGAAGGAGAGAGAGCGAGCACAAGTGGGGAAGGGGCAGAGAGAGAGAGGGAGACACTCACTGACTGAGCCACTCAGGCATTCTTCCCTCTGTTTTTATGCAGGATGAATCAATGAGATACATCTCTGAAGGCTGTTCTGGAGTCCTGTACCTCAATCTATCTAACACAACTATCACCAACAGGACCATGCGACTGCTGCCAAGGTAATGTTTGTGTCATCCGTGTTGTACTGAAGATAGTGATGCTCCTCCAGGCTCTGGCTTGTGCTAGCACTCTAGCACCCCACCATCATGGCACCGCGAATCTAGTAAGAGGACTGCTGCTTTCAAGTCCCCAGCCTGGTGCCTATTCTCTCCCTCCTGGGCATGCCTAGATTAAATAATTGATCCGCTGCTTGGCCACCATTTCTGCGTCACTCTGCTAGCAATATGCCCAGTAGCTTGGGTTAGGCTCTGCCCATCTCTTTCTGGTCCTCCTTCGTGGGCAATGGAGCCTGGCTTCTAAATTCCAGTGCCACGTGTGGACTTCTTGACAACAGAACACCAATGCCCTCCTTCCTTTGACCTTGAACACTGCTGTCCCATATTTCCAGTTGGTACACTCTGGTTACTTGTTGGGACCTCTGTCACCTTCAGGAAACCTGATACTGGTTGTTTTTTGATCTATGGACTAAATAGAAATGCTGCATTTCCTTGGCAAGTGCTTCTTTGGAGGAGAAGGGACAGAATGAATCTACAAGACATCACCAAAAGTTGGCAGGATATTTAAATTTTATGTCATTTTAAGTCAGTACTTATTTTCACCAAGGAAATACTAATCAGGAAGAGTAGATAATCATATTGGGAGAGATTCAAAAGATTTTTTTCAAACTATTGTGAATGAATAAACCATTTTTGAGAATACAACTTTTTGAGATTCTTTGAAAAATAACAGCAAAAACAGCAAAGTATTTGGAAAAGCTAGGGGAAATTCTAGGTGGTAATTTTCCTTATCTTCTGTCTCTGATCATTTTCTGCAAATGTGCAAGCCTAAAAAAAGTGATAACATATTTTCTGTTTATCCCTTTAACTGAGTTTCCACATTTCAGTCAAGTCTATTTAGTCAAATCTATCAAAACTTTCCTTTGAAATTTCATCTGATACTTTTAACTTTTAAATAAAGGTTCTTCTTCCTTCCAGGTGTTTGATGTCATTTTTTTTTTCTTCTATGATTTGTTTTTACTTAAATCTATAATTAACTTAGAATTTATTTTGGTAGATAAATGAAGCAACAATGTATAAGGTTCAGCAAACTATGCCTTGTGTGGTCCAAAGCCTGACTTAATGTAGTCCATGATCTAAGAATATTTTTTATACTTTTTGAGTTGCTAAGGAGTGCCTGGGTGGCTCAGTCAGTTAACTCTCCAACTCTTCATTTTAATAAAATTTTAATTTTAATTTCTCATATTTTCTAAATGGTCACTTTTGGACTTGGGTACAAGGTACAATGTTTTGTCCTTGTCCGTTAATGTCTTTTTAATGTTTCCATTTGTAAGATTTAATATGAAATTTACCTCTAAATGAGAATATAGGCAAATTTTGTAAGATTTAATAAGTATTGCTTTCATTTTATAAACTGTTGTAAATTTGATTTAATCTTTGACCCAATAATTATTTAGAAGAGAAATTTTGGTTCCAAGTAGTTGAAGTCTCTTTGAGTAAGCGTCTGGTTTTAATTTCTGATTTTGTACACTGTGGTCAAGAAATGCGGGCTGGATTATTTCTACCTTTTGGAATTTATTGAGATTTCTTGGTGGACCAGTTTATATAATTCATTTTAGTAAATCATCCATGAATGCTTCAAACAGGAGAGTTTCTTTTAAAGAATAAAATTTCTATGTATGTGTGTATATATGTATGAATTCTTGATATTTCATGGTATAATTGTGATATATTGGTTATATATTGGATATATAAGCTTTTATAATTAAGCTTCGTTCATTTTGATATTTTTCTTTTATACATAAAGATTAATAAATAGTATGTTTCATTACAGATGATAGAATTTATTCACATAAAATTAAATTCTTTATTCTGGTTGATGTTCCTTTGCCTCAAATGCTTTTTTATCTGCTATTAATATAGTCACCTTTGTTTTCTTTCACTTATGGTTTTTTGGAATAATTTTATGTATTCCTGTATTTTTAATCTTTATGTTAGTGTATTTTAACTTTGCCTTCTAAATGAAGCACATAGCTAACTTCTATTTTAAAATTTTCATTCTGCCTTGTTAAGGAGATAGTTTATGAGTAATATTTCCTTTCAAAACTGAGTGTATGGTTTTATTTTTATGATCTTGCTTGGTTTTTTATTTTTTGTTACTGTACTGTATTCATTGTTTCTGCCTTTTGCTATATAAACTATATTATTTACTTTTATAGTCTTAAGGTATTTCAGAGGTATGTGGACATTCTCTTCTGTATTCTAACTAGTGGTTATGTGGATTTTTAAAAATTTATTTATTTATTTTAAAATTTTTTAATGTTTTTAAAAATTTATTTCTGAGAGAGACAGCATGAGCAGGGGAGGGTCAGAGAGAGAGGGAGGTACAGAATCTGAAACAGGCTCTAGGCTCTGAGCTAGCTGTCCGCACAGAGCCCGACACGGGGCTCGAACCCACGAACCATGAGATCATGACCTGAGCCGAAGTCGGATGCTTAACCGACTGAGCCACCCAGGCACCCCATAGACTTTTTTAAAAAGAAACATATTAAATGCATTTCTTCAGCTATCAAAGTTGTGAAGGGACAATGGCTTTGGTTAGAGATCTAATACATTTTCATTCTCCCTTGAACTTGACACTTCTTTACTTCCACCTCTTGTCCATAAACACATATTGTTTGTGATTTTTGGTAATCATCTAATTTTCCTTTTAATATTGATTTTTCATGTTTGTGCTCAATATTGTGATGATATTTATGATTATGGAGCCTAACTCTAGGTTTGTAATTCACTGATGGTCCATTTGTTTCACAATTTCCTTAATCTTAATTTCTGAATTTGATTCACCCATGATGACTGACATATAGTTTGAAAACCTCTTTGTTGAGAAAGATAAACAAGTGTTAGATTTTTAGCCATTGCTTTCTGAAAATTACTTTCTTTTGTCTTGAACGGTGAACAACAACTTCTCTTGGTATATAGTTCTAGAATCATGTCCCTTACCTTATTCTTAAAATCCTACAAATATTGCCCCATAATTTTTGGTATTTCAGGTTAAAGAGAAGTGGAAAGCCAGCTTGATATTATTTTCTTCCTTTGTTGGCAACCTATTTTTCTGCCAATATGCTTGCAAGAATTTCCTTTTAACTGAGAAATTAAAAACACTATCCGAGCTGAACTGTATTCTTTCAGTTAACTTTTCCTGGAACATAGTAAACTTTTTGAACATTAAAACTTAGATCTTTTCTCACACAAAGAAGGTGTTTTCCTTTTTAATGCTTCTATTCCATTTATTCAGGTTTTCTCTTAGGAATCCTCTTTAATTTTCATATGGAATTTTTATTCCTATCCTTCAAAGCTGTCATCTTCTCTCTCTTTTTTTTTTTTTTTACAAATAGTTTATTGTCAAATTAGTTTCCACATATGTCATCTTCTCTCTTATCATTTTTATCTCTGCATACATTTCCTCAGCATACTACATTCTCCGTTATCAGTAGTTCTCAAAGTGTGTTCCAAGGATAGCCGTGTTCCAATAAATGTTTAATAACTAGTTTGGATAGGGGTTAAGGGGATGTTCTGATTTCTAAGATTTACTGATTTCTTTCGTATAAATACTACCACCCTGATCAATTTTAAGCTATCAACATGACGTAACTGAATGTGGAGGTGGGAAGAAATGGTAATAGTTGGCTCTTGTGGGCTGGTGCAAGCCAACTCCAGGGATGCCACTGTCGAGGGTCCCGACCCTTTCAGGAATTCTAAAAGGTGCTCTAGTCCTTCTATATAGAATATCACTCAATATTTTTCTTCAGGCATTCCATGTGGACATGTAAATGTGTATGAATATATGCACACGTATGAATATGTGTGTGTGTGTGTATAGAAAGAGAGAGAGAATATATTACAAAATGTGTTAAATCCATATGTGAAAATCAGAACTTATGATGTAGATGATTTGGGATATCATACTTTGAGATAGCCTTTTCTCCTATGAAAATTAGGCTAATACTACAACCATGCATAATTTTTTAGGAACACTTTTTTGACAAATGACGCTATACCTTTAGTGGGCAACAGATAGAAAAATAGGACCCAAAATGAGAATTTTGCTTTGATTTTAACTGTAGTTCTTGCTACTGAGAGAACAATCAGGATAAATGTACTTGATATTGATGATTTTTGTCATGTGAAAAAAAATGTATCCTGACTTTCTTATCTATGATAAAGATACATTTCATAATGATTCTCTATTCTTGTTCTGTTTTCTATTGTTTCAAATATGCTTGGGTATGCAAAAGTGTACTTTAAACTATAAATAGCCAGAGAAATGTTGTTTCTGCTGTTGTCATTCTCTCTCCAGTGCCTTTAGTATTTCTTTCCAAAGAAATCATCTGCCAGAAAAAAAATGTCATTTGTTTGCCCTTCTTGACGACATTGATTTGCCAGCTTTTTATTTGAATATTTTTCCCCACTTCTTCGGGGACCTGCTCCATTTTCTACAGTTGAAAATGAGGGCTGCTCATAGTTCATGCCCACTCCAGGACATTTTTGCTTCTTAATATTTCCTGAATCAAACCCTTTCCATTTATTCTTATTGCCACAACCTAGGTGGCACTCTCAGGCCCTCATCTGGCCTAGCATCCTGATGGTACACCCTTGGTCTCTCTTCCCTTCAACCTGTTTTTTTCTTACGCTGTGAGAGGCATCATCCTGAAATATTAGTCTTATCATATCTTTGACATGCTTAAGGTCTAGACTCTTCCCTTACTCTCCTTTACCATAGTCTGATCAAACTTCTCCCTTATAGGTCCTTAACATTATGTAATGAAACCTATCTACCCAGGTTTTACAAGGCAAGCCCTTAACTCTGGTCATCTGATTGCCACATGCTTCTTTTTCTCTATAGATGGAATTCCTTTCTCCTTCTCTCTGCTAAGCCATAGCCTTTACCCCTCGAGTCATACCATCAACCAGAATTCCACAATGATCTTTCCTTTCTCCGGATCCTAACAGCAACATTCTTTCACTTTTTTTTTTTTTTTTTTTTTTTTTTTTTTACAATGCATTGATCAACTACTGTGTATGAGACATTCTGGGCATATAGTGGTGAGTAAAGCTATTGTTATCTTTGCTTATTAATGGAGCATCATATGCTATAGTGGCATGGTGTTTGATTATTTTTCACATAGACCCTTCAATTGGCTTGGAAATTTCTTATACCTAGGTGCTCTCAGGTTATATGGTCTTACCCATCAGATGGGGCAGACAGAGTAAGCTCTTTCCTTGACCATACATCCTCAAGGTCTACTCTATAAATAAGAGGTCAAAACGTTGCATTTGGATTTCTGCAGGGATCCTATTATGCAAAATTGCCTCTGTGAAACTAAAAAGCCTAGCACTAAATCAAAAGAGACTACCTGAAAATCCTCTTTTACAGACTAGGCCTTGTCTCGGTGGTTTTTCAGAGAAAATTTTGTTTAAATACAGAATTCTAGGGGCACCTGGGTGGCTTAGTCAGTTAAGCATCCGACTTTGGCTCAGGTCATGATCTCATGGTTCGTGCCTTTGAGCCTTGTGTCAGGCTCTGTGCTGACAGCTAGCTCAGAACCTGGGGCCTGTTTCAGATTCTGTGTCTCCCTCTCTCTCTGACCCCCCCACCGCTCAAGCTATCTCTCTCTCTCTCTCAGAAATAAATAAAATATAAATAAATAAATAAATAAATAAATAAATAAATACAGAATTCTACATTCCTTCCAGTAGTAATGCCCTCAGATATTGGTAATCTAATACAAAAGGCCTCAGTTCTTTAATGGAAAAAAGCCAACAGAAAACATGTGATCTCTGTAGTTTCTATAAGAATTGTGATTTGCAAAAAAATTTTAAAAATATTTTAAATGTTTTATTTATTTTTGACAGAGAGGGAGAGAGAGAGAGAGAGGGAGAGGCAGAAGCAGAGAGGGGGAGACAGAGGATCTGAAGCAGGCTCCACGCTGTGAGCTCAGAGCCTGAAGTGAGGCTCAAACCCATGAACCGTGACATCATGACCTGAGCTGAAATCAAGAGTCGGCCATGTAACTGACTGAGCCACCCATGCACCCCAAGAACTATGATTTCTTAAAGCTTATAGTAGCGGTAGAAAAATAAACCACAAAGAGAACCTCTCCCTCATTAGACATACTTATCAAATAATTAGGAAAAGATAAACACAGGCTGCAAATACAACTTCAAAGTGGAGTTAGACATACCAAGCTGTCTCTGGGTTGAGAACATGATGAGCCAGATCTTTCTCACGTAAGGGATGTATTTCTTTGCCAAAATTCAGAACAAAAAGTTGCAGTATTGCATAAAATTTGCCAAGTGATTTCACTGTCAACTGATTGTTTCCCCATCCCCAGAAGCTCTGAGTCTGCAGCACTGTAAATCCCTGGAAAGGCCACAGGGCCTCTCGAGATTCCTCCTGGGCTAGGTTTTCAAACTGATGGTTTCCATGAGGTTCCACTTTGAAGACAGCCACCTAGAGACTGGTCGTCTGGGAGTCATTTAGTCCAGCAAACAACTTCTTTTGCCAAATCTGAGGTTCTTAACGTGGATCAGTGCGTCCCCCAAGGAGACCAGGGATGGAATTCAGAGGTTCCATGAATTTTGATGGGGGACAAATCATCTCGTTTTTGCTAAGCCCTAACTGAAATTTAAGTGAAAAATCAGAGTAGCATTAGCAGTTCCTGGGACTCTTTTACCCATAAAAATCTCAAATATTTTCTTACTATAGTTGTTATGGTATCACAAAGTATCACTGACCCTCATCACTACCTCAAAACCATGGGTAGTTATTAGCCCTGCCACTAGATTTGTTATTTAATATTTACATATAATATTATATGTTATATAAAAATATATAATATAAACAGGTTAAAAATAAAGAAGCACATATATTATTATTCTACTCATTTGATCCTCAAAAAATTTTGATAATAATATCTTTCAATATAATTAACTGCTTTTGTAATTTTAAGTATTTTATTCTATGCATTAAAAATACAATGCAGATAAAGGGTCCACAGATCCAGAGGTATCTGTTACACACAGAGAAGTTAAGAACTCAATCAATTCCTGCTTTTAGTATTGGTTAACTGATCACAAGGACTTAAAAAAAAATCAAACAACAGGTTTGGACTAGATTTGAATATATTTGAATATGCATGATTTTTGTCAGTAGCAGTTACATTATTATAATTACAGACAGACTAATTGACATAGGGGTTAAAAATGGGTTAAGAACAGTCTGCAAATGACTGGGCAACACATGAAGGAAATAAAAACTATGTCAGAGGATGTCAATCTCACTGGAGTTCAAACGGATTAAATAGGGCATTAAACTTTGACCAAAATGAGGGTGTAGATGTCATATGAAGTCCCCCCAAACCCTTGGAATCAGTTATGTACACCACCTTTGTCAGATAAGTACCCATTCCAATACATGGAAGAAGAAAGAACAAACTTCATAAGAAGAATTAATGTTATCATTTGAATTAGGAGTAGCAATAATATATTTTTTATTTGTAAATTTTAAAAATTTAGTATATTTTTTAAGTTTATTTATTTGTTTTGAGAGAGAGAGAGAGCACAAGTGGGGTAAGGGCAGAGAGAGGAGAAAGAATTCCAAGCAGACTCGGCGCTGACAGCGCAGAGCCTGACACAGGGGTCGAACTCATGAACTGTGAGCCGAGATCAAGAGTCAGACACTTAACTGACTGAGCCACTCAGGCACCCCCTATCTTTTAAAGCTTCTACCTCCTGATTTTAATCATCAAAAGTCATCCTTAATATAATGCTCTTACATCTATGTTCTCATATAATTGTCATACCTCTAAGAGGAAGGAGCAGATAGAATTACATTCATGTCACAGATGAGAAAGCTGAGGTTCAGGAAAGCTAGACAAAGTTGGTCAAGGTTTAAAAAGAAAAGCGATCATATTATAGTCTCTACTTAACAGATGCAGAAACAATCTCTGAGAGGTTAGGGGAGTTGCAAAAGTGTCATGGCTGATATTGGAAACCAGTTTGGTCAGATTCCAAAACTTTTTGTGTTTTCCATTGTGTTATGCTGTCTGCCTCAGGCTCCTTCCTCCAAATTAGAGAGCTTAAGGGTTGTCAGAAATGACAATCCTCCCTCACCCCACCCCTGCACCCCCCACACACCCCAAGAAAGCTGTTCTTGAATCACAAGGGTATCCTTCCAGGGAGAAGAAGATCAAGCATTTCCAAAACTTTGGCATAGATTTTGTTAACTGAAGGGCCCCAGGAGAGGGGACGTGTCCTTGGGATGTTAGTACTGCTTTCTGCTTCATGGCCCTGCCCACGGCCACTGGGGAATCCAGATGGCGTCCCTCTTTGTTCTGTTGAATCTCAAGGACACAGCCATTGCCAGAGGGGAATGTGTGTTCTGCATCAGATAAGTCACTAAGGGGAATCATTATATCATATAGATGTGTTTTTCAAATTTTAGGAATCAATCTGATTGTCAGTGCTCACATATCTTATTTCCCAGTTTTATATGAAGGTAAATTGCACTAGTCATTTGTGGGCTTTTGAGGGACAGAGAGGCATCTTGTTCCCACTTTTTGTTCTTGCTTTCCAATTTGGTGTTAAACTGACGCAGATCACAGACCAAGAGCATGCTGTTAATTCTACGAAAAGAGCCAGCAATAGTGGGAGTTCTTGCACTTTTAAAAAATGCCAGGCTTAAGAAGGCTTGGAAAATTGTCCACAGAAGGTCTTCAAACTGTAAACCCTTGCACGGTAGTACAGGCTCATCTTAATTATCCTCCTTTTATAATTTTTTTCCTGGAAGCGATCATTTTAGTCATGGTGGTAATGCCACACTTAATCTGTTTGAACTCCAGTGAGATTGATAGCCTCTAATGTGGTTTTTATTCCCCTCGTGTGTTGCCCAACTCATTTGCAGACTGTTCTTTTTAACCCATTTTTAAGCTCTCTATATCGGTTAGTCTTTCTTTAACTATAAATATGAAACAGTTACTTATGAAATCATGCATATTCAAACGTTATTTTCAAACCATTTGCTTATCATGTCCATTTTAATAGTCTGTTATGTTTAACTTTGCCTCCTTTCTGCCCCCAATCCTCACTGTCATGTAACAGTTAATCGCCATTTAAATGTTTACAAAGGGCTTGTCCTTCTAGATATTTTGCACATTGTTTTGGTGTTCCAAAGATAAAACCTAAATGCAACAATAATGCAAACTCTATAACTTTGGCTTTAAACGTAAACTAACATCCAAACAATATGAATGCACAAATCTCCCCCACCCCCAAAGCTTTGTCCCAATCAGCTTTCTTAAAAATCGAGGCAAATCTTTATTTTCATCTGAAATGTAATTATGCTTTACCTGACATCTACTACTACGATCCCCTTTACATAACAGGAAGGGAATTAAAAATGAAGTCCAGCTGTTGAATATCTGCAAGGAGAAAAGATAAATTTAGAGTTTTACTTCTCTTTGTCATAGTGGCTTAAGAAAGATGTGGAAAACGACTCAAGTTTAATCCCTTTCCTTCCTCTCTTTTCTCGCCCTGTCTTTTCAGGCACTTCCACAACTTACAGAATCTCAGTTTGGCTTACTGCAGAAAGTTCACAGACAAAGGGTTACGGTACCTGAATTTAGGGGAGGGATGCCACAAGCTCATCTATTTGGACCTTTCCGGCTGCACCCAGGTTTGTCTTTCAATCTTCTCTTTCCTGCAGCGGGCAAGGAAGTCCTCCGGAGGACGGGCTACATCCAGTCCTCATGTTATACTAATGCTGTGCACGGACTGCAGCACACTTTTCAGAGGTTTTGAATTACACAGCCACAGCTGCTTAAATTTTCCCCAGGATCACTACTATAGGCTCTTGGCTTCCTTCCACTGGAATGTCATCCACACACAGGCCGAGCTTAGAGGATGATGAAACAGACCACTTCTGTGTAGATACTTCAAGCACAATTATAATACCAGAGTTCTAAATGTTGAAAACTTTAGAATTGCAACCAAGATACAAACACAGGAGAAACCTTTCTGAGGGAGGATTGGCAAAGAACTTCCTGGAAAGTCAATTAGCTCCCACATGGGCTTTCAAAAAATAAACGGGTATTGAGTCAAATGCTGTAAGTCCTAAAGGTGAGAAAGGAAATACAACAAAGATTGTAATTTTTAAAACTGCATTATATCCTTGGCTAAATAACATGGAGATTTGAGGTCTAAATGGGGAAATATTTTAGTTTGAGGGAATAAGGTAAAAGAAAATTAGGTAGAAAATCGGGTGGAGTTGAGGAGGTTAGGGCATGGAACTTTGGAAATGGTTACTGCCTCAATGGTAGTTTCTTCTGCTCAGTTCTGGCAGATTTAAGTCATTATTCTTTTAACTTCTTTTCTTCCCCCTCTCTGTGTATTTTGTTAATATTAGTATCATAGTATGTTCTTCCTTCTACAGAAATAATATAATAGCAAAGATGAGAACTGGCTAAAACATTGATAGTCACCGTTTATTGAGTTGTTACTATATGCCAGGCACCATGTTGAGTGCTTCACATAGATCAAATTCACTGCAAATGCTTTGTAGTTGATATTCATTGTACCCATTTAGAAAGGCAGAATGCTCCCAAGCTTGCCCAGCTGGTGAAAGCACATGGTACTGGTGCAGTTATAAGCACCTGTTGGTCCACAGGTAGGCAGGCAGAGTGCCCTGGAGGGCATACAGGCACACGATGGGCTTCTCCTCCAAGTTCTTAAATGGCTAGAACTTACTCAGTCACCGTCACTGGCATCCCATGGTTTCCTGGTACACTAGGCAGTAGGGAGGATTTGGGGGCAAGGAAGGGAGGGCTCTAAGCTAGGATTGAAACATCCAGAATTTACATTTATTTGTGACCTACTGGTGTGTAGCCTGTGAAACATGAACAAGAGATGGACCTATCATTCTCTTGCCTGAACTTTAGACCAGCGTCTTCTTGACTTGAGGTCCCTGACCTCCCTTTTCTTGGACCATTTATTGTAGAAAACTTGCAACTGTACATTCTTTCTTTGCTCTCTTTGAGATAGAAACTTCTTTAAAAGCTCCTTGCCAGTTTTACAACCCAGGAATGCCTTCCTCAAGGACCTGGGAGCCATCCTTTGATATGTAATCATTAAGGGAAATAGCATGTGTATCTTCCAGTCTCTCTGGGAGGGGAGGTGCCTACTTTTGTTATGGGTGTCAGTTAGCAAACACAAATGGACTAATTACAGAGAAACATATTTGCAAATTCAGGAATAACTCAACGTGCTTGATGCATCCCATTGATTGCTGTCCCCTCTAAAGATACATCCTCCAGTATTTCCCACCCGCTCACCAAGGGCTTAAAAACCCTCCCCACAGGGTAACTTACCTCCTCCTTCTCCTCAGTTCCCACAAGGTAATTATTGTGGTGACAACATACAATTCACACACAAACACACGAGCACACATACATATGTCCTAAGGATAAATATGCTCAGACACAGTAAAGTCAAAATGAGAGGTTTCCAATCAATGTGGCTCTACTCTGGGCAGATATACATGCAGAACTCACAGATAGTTTATCTATTTTTAAATCGTGAGCCAACATTTTAAATTCTGGGGTTTTCATAAAGAAATATAGACTTCAAGCTTCTCTTAAAAAACCGGAAACACTAACGAAATTGGGCCTACACTGCCGTATGGCAACAAAGGGCTGGAACTGAGTCGGCCTCATCCCCTTGAAATGGAGCAGCCTGGCCTCTTCTCCACTCAGTAAGGTCCACACATGCATGTACACCTACCAATTAACTGCATGGCCTACTTGTCCTCAGCGGGTATTGAAAGTGGTCTGAATGTACAAAGAACAGATTTCTTTTCCCAATTGTCCCTTAATTTGTAAGTCTCAGTTCCCAGTGAAGTTAGTATTTCACAGTGCTATGCAAAACAATGTTAATTTCTTTTGTTCATCTGTCTTCCACTTCCAATTGTTTATTTTATAATTCATCAGAGATTTAACTCCAGGTGTCAGACACTGTTTCAGTCACTGGAAAGTGTGCCACTTGAAACTGAGCCCCTTCAGGCTCACTGGGAGTAAGAAATGGGCTCATTATGAACCACAGATCTCCTGCGAGCAGATAGCTGCTGCTCTAGCTTCAGAAACAATGAGTAAAGCTTGGATGTTACCTCTTTTGAGGGACGTGTTAAATTCTGTGTGGAGGCTCTGTCTGCCTCCCTGGCTCTGGGTGTGAGGACAGTTTCACTCTCCCAGGCCTACTTATATTGACCAGGCGGCACACAAATGGTTTCAAAGAAGGAAAATAGATGATTCACAGATTTCCCAGGTTGTGCTTTTGGAAGCTAAAATCTATTTTCTTTTTACAAGTTTGGAATTTTGCACTATGAAGTCACGTGTTAGTATATCTGCCTGAGGAAAAAGGTCCTAATTAAACAAAAGACTTGAGAATAGAAGCTCCCACCTACCTGTGTGCCTGCTGCCACCGGGGATGAGTAAAACAGCATATCCCCTGGTCTCTAAGGAGCTCTGTGTTAATGTAAGTGAGGTCTGTCGAGGGCTAAACTTTAATGCAGTCGTGGCTGCTCCCCAAAAGGAAAGATGTATTTATACGATATTGTGAAATATTTTAACCATACTTGGAAAAAAATACATAAATGGAGAACTGCAAAGAAAACTGAAAATCAATTACACATGTTTTAGAAATACTCTGCATGATTTTGGGATTGGATAGATACTGTAGGTACATTAAGTAATGTGACAGATCTCCTAACAAATACCAGCACTTGCATCTACACTTGCGTGTCCTCATCTTTAATGTGGTTGAGGGGATGCTTCTTTTCAGTTTCGTCTCAAAAAAGCCTCTGCTCACTTGGCCTGAAATCAGGATAGAGCCGCCCCAGTCAACTCTTACCCCATACACTGCAAACTTCTAATCATAATATACCTGTCACTTTGAGTTTTCTTTTTTCACCTTGCTTTCACTTTATTTTTCTTTCTACATGTTAAACACAAAAATATGAGAAATGAGCAAAAATTTAAAGTATCTAAATATTAACCACCTTGAAATAATAAGGGTAAGGCTTTCTGGTCTTTTTCTACGCACATCTATACTTCTTTTAAACTAAAGTGGATTATATAGTACACATTTCTTTTCTTTATATTCCATAAATATTTTATTTTATTTAACCATATATTATATCATATCATATCATATAATTTTTTTGCTATCATCAATACCCTGTTAGGAAGATTCTCATAGCCATATATTTCCATATGTCTATGCAATATTTTGGTATGAATTTTTAGAAGTGAAACGGTCAGAGGATATAGTTATTTTTAAAGCCATTCATGCTCTACAATATGTCAATTGCCAAACATAATATAATGTAAAATAAGAATGTTATCTAAAAAAATATTTTAGCCAATTTGACATCGAACATATTTTATATTTTTAATTTGTATTTCTTTGATCACTTGTAAGGTTAAGCCATACCCAGGCACTTACTAAATATTTGTTGGTTGAATAACAACGATTCTTATTCCAAAAGGCTGACATTGTTTTTCAAATTAATTAAAAGTTTTCTTTCAGAGCCTGAGTGCAACATATTCTTTATAGTATTTTCAGAAGAAGGAAAAAAAAAACCAATCTACATTCATTTAACAAAAAATTCTGGTCGAGTCAGTTGAACAAATTTAATATGTCTGCTTCTACATTTACTATTTACTCAGTTATAAAATTTAAGCTTATGCCATAAAACAAAATTTTAGGGGTGCTTGTATGGCTCAGTCAGGCGTCTGACTTTGGCTCAGGTCATGATCTCATAGTCTGTGAGTTCAAGCCCCGCATCAGGCTCTCTGCTGTCAGCACACAGCCTGCTTTGGCTTCTGTCTTCCTCTCTCTGCCCTCCCCCACTCATACACTGTCTCTCTCTCTCTCAAAAATATAATAAACATTTTTAAAAAACAAAACCCCCAAAATATCACGTTTTTAAAAAAAAAACCCTATGTTTAAACACAATCTGGGGAGACTTTTTAGAGACAAAATAGTTTTATTGTTTTATCGTGTAAAGAAAAGTACCCTTTCTTGAGCTCCTTTGTCATCTATGGTGTGGGAGACAACTGGTAGCAATGAATGGGTCCATCTTGTTTTCTGCTCTAAAGAATGGTGTGCGACCTAATTCACAGCAGCCATTTATCAGATGTTTATTGAATATTTGGATTGATGTTTAGTTTGCTAAGTGAAACTGATGACCTATTGTAGGAAACGTTGGTAGCTTTTCTCTGCATCTCATACTTTGCTTCAGGAACCACTCCTCTTCTTTCCCTGTGACTCTGCAGAGCTGTGTTACTCTCGACACCTTGAGAGCAATACATGGTAGTCACTGGGAGTATGGGTTCTGGGGTACCTGCTTTTTAATCCCGAATTTGCCATTTACTAGTTCTGAGGCTGTGGCAGGTTACCTGAAGGTTTTATATGTCTCAGCGTCTGTATCTATGAAATGGCGAAAATACTAGTAGCTGCCTTATAAGTGTGTTGTGTAAATGAAATGATCTGGTACATATAACATGCTTAGAACAGTGGCTTCATAGAGTAAATGCTTATTAATTATTAGGATTTTCTTATGGCCCCTGGGTCATTGATCCCAGCCTATACAATCCTAAATTCCATCTGCAGTGGCTGTGATTTTTCCAGGAGAGGGGCATGACCACACCACAACCATTCAGAATCCTTCCACGTATTCGACAGTGGGAAAAATAAATTCTGTTTTTCCTGAGGTTGCAGGGCCTGGAGAGTGTTAAGTCTA